TATTTTTGTTCCTAATTCCTGAACAATCTTTTTATTGTTCCTAAATCCCTGTCCTAATCCTTTATTTTTGTTCCTAATTCCTGAACAATCTTTTTATTGTTCCTAAATCCCTCTCCAAATCCTTTAATTTTGTTCCTAATTCCTTAAACAATCTTTTAATTGTTCCTAAATTCCTGTTCTAATCCTTTAATTTTGTTCCTAAAATTTAAAAATCTTTAGTCTTTAGTCTTTAATTTTGACTCTTTTAGAGTCTTTTAAGTCAAAAAATTTTTTCGTCTGCGGCACGATTTTTTATTCATAATTATTCATTTTTTGGTTCCTAAAAAATCTTGCCCCCCCCCCCCTCACTTAAATCCTGTATCCGCCCCTGGTCGTGTTTTTGCAAAATTACAGTCTAAGTTTAAATTTTAAAATTTCCATACCGGGTATATTCCACGGAAGCCGAAAAGGAAATGAGTCTTTGCCACAAATTCAGCTTTTGTAATACCTACATCTTTGCAACTTGATGCTGTAAACCTCTGATATTTCAAATTTACATTCTTCTAACAGTATTCATAGTTTGAAATGTCAACGACATTTGGTTGCAACAATATTGAAATTAGAAAATCAGAGTTTGTGGCAAAACCTCAATTCCTTTAGATTCTTGATTTTTTATTTAACTACAGGTACAATACAGGTACAATAAGAACAAGAAAAATGTAGAACAGGAAAGTACATTTGATGTTGTTGCAAAGCATGCAAATAGTTTTACTAGTAAGTTATTAGATCACATATTCAGTGAAATGGGGTCTGTTTACACTGCACAATTACTGTGTCTCATGTTAATCGGACTAAAATTATAATTTGATTTCCTATTCTAGTGTTTTCTGGTTCTCACTGAATGTTTTACCTAGTAATCATCAGCAATATTTACAAACTTCAGTGTGGGTAAATATTGATTTCTTATTCTAGTGTTTTCTGGTTCTCACTGTATGTTTTACCTAGTAATCATCAGCAATATTTACAAACTTCAGTGTGGGTAAATATTGGAAGGAAAGTCAAGGCCCACGGACAATAACAAATCCTAAATGATTTCTTGAATATTGTGATTATCTAGAAAATATTAGTTTGAAAAAAAATATACTTAATTCTTTCTCATAAATGCAGTCAACCATGTCTGCAGAGACATTTCAGGTCTTTTTATGTCGTTTCATGAACTTTGCATAATTGACTTAATTATAACGTAGTGTAGGTATTTTTAGGTAAATCATGTATTCTATAGGAGGTGCTGTCATTTTTAATATGGTCCTTTGCAAAGACGATGCAATTAGTAAAGTCTTTGGTCCTATGATATTTTGTTAAAGTAATCCTTCAAAATACTACAGTGGGTAAATGAACATGAGCCACATCAGTTGTACAGTGTAGACATGTAGTAAATGCCCTAGTCCAATAAATCCTTTAAGATCAGTACCAATTCAAGTATATCCTTCCGTATCCTTCGGAATCTGTTCACAAAATACAACCTAATCACAAACTATTCTGTACAATAATACTTTAGTCTGATATACTCTATCAGTATTCTTTGGTATCTGTCATACAAGATACGACTCAACCAAAAACTCTTCTGTTCAATATATACTTTAGTCTGATATGCCTCTATCAGTATTCTTTGGTATCTGTCATACAAGATACGACTCAACCAAAAACTATTCTGTTCAATATATACTTTAGTCTGATATGACTCTATCAGTATTCTTTGGTATCGTCTAGCTTACAAGATACAACTCAATCAAGAATTATTACGTTCGATAATACTCTAGTCAAAATCAAACCGGATACGACTCTATCAGTATTCTTCGGTATTTGTCTTACAAGATACAACTCAATCCCTCTCATTAATACATGAGGCATATAATTACTATAGCACCGTAATCAAAGCGGAGTATTATTCCAATTTACGTTTATTTTGAGATCTATGATACAGGTTAAGTGATACTATCTTACCTTATCTCTGAGTCATTCTGTCGGGTCTCTGTTCACATCTTCTTCACCTGAACTCCCAACCTGTACTTTATTTTGGCTAAAGAATAAGGGAGATTTCTCCTCTACTAAGACCTGTACGGTCCTCCCATGTCCTCTTAAGGAGCTGTAATCCTGCTCCTTCCGGTCGACCAGCCTGCCTCTACCTAGCTGACCTGAACTGGTCTAGCTGAGCTAGTAGGTGGTCGACCTAGTTGACCTGCCAGCCCTGCAAACGGAAGCTTGGGTGGGTTGGTCAACCCTGCTGACCGGCTCTAAGCTGTATGCTAAGCAATAAACTCAACCCTGCTGACCAGCCTGTTGTTGCCAGCCGGTCAACCTGGTCCCCCGGGCCACTGTCCCAGGGCCGGTGAACCCTGTTCACCGGCCCTGGGTGAAGCTACCTGGAGGACCCAAAGTGAAGAGAGGGTAGTTTCCCCTCTTCTGAAAGAGATCCAAAAGTTAGGTCTAGTATGGGAGAACCTGAGATCTTAAGCCAAAATGTTACTTTCTCTGCTGTCTGCAGATAAAGTGTAACGAAGGTTTTTATGCTTCGTCTATGTCAGTAATTAACACAGAATGCTATTTATTACGCTTCCCTGTAAAGCCCCTAAATTATTTATATTTACTCCTGGTGCATGGCCAATTTACCATTAGATACCGAAAAAGAATATCCATAGATGTCATTCTTATTAATTCGTCAAGATCCCAATCATAAAAAATATTTATTAGATAGATGGTCTATTTATCGTGAGACAATTGAATTTCCTCTAATAAGGCTAAAGGCAAATTCCAATCAACTGATGGGTTCTGAAGCCAATTTTGCAAAGCTGGCGATATCGAGGAAGATGATAAGGATCTTGCTAGGTTTTCTTCCTCCTGTGATGTAGAAGAGGATCTGGATAGATGATCTGCCATAACTGCTCCTGGAGAGGATAGTCGGGGGGTATGAACAATGTAAACTCTGCATCTGAGATATGAGGACAGAATGTGTATGGCCCTGATCATGATGGAAGCTTCAATATCGTTCACCACATGTCTCTCCCTCCAGCCGTGGACGACAGCAGTGTTGTCAACATGTAAGACTACGTTGGTTCCAGATAGTGATGATGGAAATGATAAGAAAGGTAAGAGTACCCCTATGGCTTCTAGGGTGCTGCTTTTTGCAGCAAATCGTGTACCTGCATTATCTTTTGCATAGAATAATAGGCTATGAGGCCAAAATATCCTTGAGATTTTTAAGAAAGTAGTCTGATCCCTTGAATGTAGAACGGAAGCGGCTCCGAACTTCTCACCCTCAAGACTGTTAGGAGACTTGGATAGATCTATCCCTGCTGCATCAGATGTGCAATGGATGGAGTAGATTGGAGGGAAAGATGGTCTAGGGTGTATTGGTAACCCGTGTCTGCTAAAATTAATGATGTTTGACCAGATTTTCAAATCTGATCTCACAGAATTAGGGATAAACATTTCTGTTCTGTTGTCGGACTTGAATTTTCTGATAAAGCTGTACAGCGGGAGTCTAAAAGCTTTGGTAAATGGTGCCATACTCCCAAAATTCTCAAGGCAACCTGCTATCTCTTGAACTGTAAGGAGGTTTGTTGTCCTTCTTGCGAGAAACCGTGAAATTTTCCTTGTCAAGTCATCTGCCTTCTGATCTGGAAAGGACCAGGATATGGGACTGGAGTTAAAGTTGAACCCCAATACAGTACCCCTGGTCTGATTAGTAAATGCCTTGTCTTTGTTGGGACAGTCGGGGGCCAACTCTATTCTGAGATCCGAGCAAAGTTTCTTGTACACGGCCGAAAATTTATTCTGAGTAAATCTGTGCTCTTTATGCCGGCAACAAGCTATTGAAAATGGCTGCCAAGAGCCGACACTAGCGCCTTCTGAGCACTTGGTATGTGACTCATCCTTATAATTCTTACTCCACTCCAGTAGTAGTATACTAGTAACTCCAACCACTGAGCACAGTGCACACCTAGAGCGAGCTCTGGCTATACCTTGATAATAATACAAAACCATTTTCGTGTTCAGTTAAAATACTCATTAAATACTTTATGCAGGCTACAATCATCATGCAATAAAACTATTAATAATTTCGTCAAAACTTTTATTATTTCAGTTTGCACAAATCTTCCAAAAACAATGGAGCTGTCAGCTGATCAATGTTTATATACTGAGCTCCCATCCCTGATGATGTATATACGGGATTGAGCGAAGAATAGATTGTAACTTGATCCTTGTGTGGGGTTCAGTTGAAACTTAAACCTAGGCTTAAACCTATAGCTGAGTAAAGTGATTGGTTTCGAATATATGCAGGGTAGTGAATCATACAATAACTTAAGTGAGTCAGTAAACCTTTTTAAAAACGTACTGTCAGGGTAAAATACATCCTTAATCCGCGTACAAACACTGTTCTTAAACCACTCCCTGAACAAGAGATATCAGTAGTTAGAGTTCCGATTGATTAACGAAATTATCCCGCTTCTAAATCCATCGGAGCGGAACCGATAACTTCATGATTAAAGAATGTAAAACCAATGAATGGAGATTGAGGATACAATGAAAACTCCGATGGAATTAAATCAGAAACCCCACGGTGGACGCTTAATATTGCAGGTATCGTATTTATAATCATTAATTTAGACAATGTTTTATTGACGACCCAACTCATAAATGTGAAAATCTAAAGATCGTATTTTGGTTTTTCGTGACTTTGATATATTATTACAATGGTTTATTAATGATTTAACAAGATAGGAACATTAACTGTCATATAAAGGACAAAATCAATTTCACAGTCGTCTTTAAAACATTCATCCAGTTCTTAGCCTGTATTAAATGTTTGTTTTTATTTTTATGAATAAGAATAATTGAGCATTTTTGATTATGATAATTTATCCAGTCAAAAATGCGCAAGTAATTTTTATTGCAGAGAAACCACAAATCAAAAAAAACAATTTTTTAAAAACAAGGAGTTCTAATTCATGCTTTATCAGACAAAGCTTTCAGCGTACCCGTTGTAAATGGGGCAATTGCAATATTTGCATGGAGGGTCACTTAAAATTACGCGTACAGTCCCTTTAATCCAGAAAAAAAGACCAATATCATTATTCCTTTGATTTTTGGAGCTGTGCACAAATATTAAATGAAAGTTTTTTTTCGAAGGATTAAATATATATATCTCAAATCAATGCAATTCATTGGGTTGATTAATCAATAAATAGTGTACATAACGTTGTTCTTTTAAAAAGGGGGGGGGGACATGTCAAGCTTATGTTTTGGTAAATATAATGAATTTTATTTTTTACGGTGCTCCCGACTGTAAAATATGGGCGTTTTCTCCTCTTCTTAATGAATGGTCGTAAAAAAATAGTTTAAGATTAATAAACCCAAAAATAAGAATTAAATTAAACCGACATACTTCCTGCATATTGAACCACGGTGTAAACTAAGAAACATGAATAGTATCCGGCCATACATGGTTAAATATATGTAAAATGAATTTTCCAGAAATATCACCCGAAATTTCATTTAAAACCGTCCTTTTTTACTCCCTACTTGCTCAACCAAAAAATAAAATCTTACAGTATCGAATTTTGCTTTGTAAGTTGTACTCTTTCTAGTTTATAGTGAGTTTAATATGACTGCAAAGATTACCTAACACTCATCATCTATATATATATATATATATATATAAAGTAGCAATCTCTGTAATTGTTTGTATGTCCGATGAAAATTCTGGATTCAATGGCCTCGCATTTTGATTGCGGAACTCAATAGAACCACGGGAATTTTCTTATCCCATAGATGATTGGATTGCGTTTGATAGAGGAAATATAGTTTTTAGGCAAAGCTGGATTCCCAAGCAAGTCATTACACAGAACTATGATCACTTTTAGAATGAACTTAACTAATAAGATGACCCCAATCTCTCCTTGCCGGGGAGATTAACTGATCTACTATTGGTCAAAACTTCATGAGTTCCGTCCATACTATTGGTCAAAACTTCAGGAGTTCCGTCCATACTATTGGTCAAAACTTCAGGAGTTCCGTCCATACTATTGGTCAAAACTTCATGAGTTCCGTCCGTACTATTGGTCAAAACTTCAGGAGTTCCGTCTATTTTGAAATTCCCAGATTTCTTTAAATTTTCAGGCTGCCAAGACTGGAGATATTCAAACCGTGAGAAGAAAATTGAAACGTTCAATATTTAGAAAGAGTCTAGATCTCAACTTACAGGATGAACGGCAAGTATAATTAAATTATTTTTATTTGCGTAAAGTGATAGTTCAGGATTTAATTTTTAGTTCTTTTTTAATATTTAAGATCTTGATTTAAGTTCTGCTAGCTGAAGTGCCCGTGAAATTTAGTTAAGATCGAATTATAAAAAAAAAATTTTGAAAAAAAACCATCGAATTTTGTTTACCCTATGTAACACACGGGGGTACTTAAGGGTTCCCTCAAAAAATTTTAGCCCATTCGGTCTGTAGATGTTTGGCCAGCAGCTATAGCTAACATACAAATATATATATATATATATATATATACAGGTATTTTCATTTTTAAACCATCAAGATATATAACAGCTAGTAATGAGGTTAGACACCCATTGGTCTTTTTACCTAAAAATAATTTTTGTTTATGAATTTATTGTCCCTGTTTTTTTTTTAGATTGGGGTATTAGGTGTATTTCACAAAATTATAAAATACATGTTTTTTTTGTTTGTTTAGTGAATGTACTCCTCTCCACTATGCCGCTAAGAGTTCTAACCTAGAGATGGTTCGACTGCTTCTGGAGAACGGAGCTGATCTTAGAGCTGCTGACCGACACGGCTGGAGCGTTCTTCACTACGCGGTCAGGTAGGACTAGTATCAATTAGGGCTTCTCAAGTTCGAAATTCAGAAAATTTTCTCTTTTTTCCGCGGACTTGCCGTATTTACAAAATATAACCAGAAAGAATTACACTATTTTGTTGTTGTTATTCACTATGCATTTTAAAAAGGAAGGATACTGCCTTAAAAGTTAAGTTACGAATTTCAGTTCCTTTCTACAAAATATATTGTATATATAAAATATATTTAATTTTTGAGTCAATAATTTTTTCAAACATTGAAAACATTAAGCTGCAGCCAAATATCAATAATTTATCAGAGAAAATATAAACGCTGATAAGTCAACAAAATAGTTGATATTCGTTTACTCCATATTTATTATATATTATCATAAACTTACATTCGATGCGTCTAGGTATGGTCGGGATGAGATGGTTGAACTGCTCCTGAATAAAGGAGCTGATGTGAATGTAAAGGAGAAGAGAGGGTGGAACCTTCTTCATCTTGCTGCAAGGTATCGAAGGTCTTGATATAAACATTTATAAGAACAGAATTAAATTTTTTTTTAATTTAGAAAATAAACACAAAACTGTTATATGAGCTGAGACCTTTTTATCAGACAGTATTTTTAATTTATAAAAAGTTTTATCCTCTCTTTTCAGGAACGGACAAGCCGAAAAAGCCCGTATTTTGCTTGAAGCTGGGATAGATGTACAGGAACTTCAAAACCAGGGTTGGAACGCTCTTCACCTAGCAGTTAGGTAGGATAGGTGTACAGGAACTTTAAAACCAAGGTTGGAACGCTCTTCACCTAGCAGTTAGGTAGGATAGGTGTACAGGAACTTTAAAACCAAGGTTGGGACGCTCTTCATCTCGCAGTTAGGTAGGATAGGTGTACAGGAACTTTAAAACCAGGGTTGGAACGCTCTTCACCTAGCATTCAGGTAAGATAGGTGATAATGAACTTAAAAACCAGGGTTGGAACGCTCTTCACCTAGCAGTCAGGTTAGATATGTTATAAGGAACTTTAAAACCAGGGTTGGAACGCTCTTCATTTTGCAGTTAGGTTAGTTATGTTATAAGAAACTTTAAAACCAGGGTTGGAACGCTCTTCATATTGCAGTTAGGTTAGTTATGTTATAAGGAACTTTAAAACCAGGGTTGGAACGCTCTTCACCTAGCAGTTAGGTAGGATAGGTGTACAGGAACTTTAAAACCAGTGTTAGAACGCTCTTCATCTGGCAGTTAGTTAGGATAGGTGTACAGGAACTTTAAAACCAGGGTTGGAACGCTCTTCACCTAGCAGTCAGGTAAGATAGGTGGTAAGGAACTTTAAAACCAGGGTTAGAACGCTCTTCACCTAGCAGTCAGGTTAGTTATGTTATAAGGAACTTTAAAACCAGGGTTGGAACGCTCTATATCTAGCAGTCAGGTAAGATAGGTGATAAGGAACTTCCAAACCAGGATTGGAACGCTCTTCACCTAGCAGTCAGGTTAGATATGTTATAAGGAACTTTAAAACCAGGGTTGGAACGCTCTTCATCTTGCAGGTAGATAGGATAGGTGCAGTGGTCGGTATTTATATCAATACAAAGAAAATAACTTAAGTTTTGATTTATTAGCTTTTTTCAAATTAAAAGTTTACAAGTAAATAAAGAGAAGCTGTTAATTGGCAGATTCTCTTAAAATCAAAAGTCTTCTTCATTGTTCTGTTATAACGACGACTGTAGTTAGGTAGTATAGGTGTTTTGTACGACTAAACAAAAGCTATACCCCTCTAGATCTAGTAAATATGTCAATAAGGTGTCTGCAATTGCAAATTTTTTAAAGATCTAAATATTTATTCTGATTAAAAATTAAAGATTACAATTAGAGTTTTACAATTATAGAAAAGAAATTTTATCACATTTTAGTTTTTTTAAAGTTCACTAGTAGCTGTAAAGCATATTATATTCTTAGAATACACGTTCACATCCTGGTATTGATTTATCTGTCCTAGGAAAACAGGAATTATAGTTTTATCTGTGCTATGTAGGAAAACAGGAATTACAGTTTTATCTGTGCTAGGCAAACAGGAAATATAGTTTATCTGTGCTAGGAAAACAGGAATTATATTTTTATCTGTGCTATGTAAGAAAACAGGAATTACAGTATTATCTGTGCTAGGAAAATAGGAATTACAGTTTTTTCTGTTCTAGGAAAACAGGAAATATAGTTTTATCTGTGCTAGGAAAACAGGAATTATAGTTTTATCTGTGCTAGGAAAACAGGAATTACATTTTTTTCTGTGCTTGGAAAACAGGAATGATAGTTTTATCTGTGCCAGGAAAACAGGAAATATAGTTGTATCTGTGCTAGGAAAACAGGAAATGCTAGGAAAACAGGAAATATAGTTGTATCTGTACTAGGAAAACAGGAATTACAGTTCTATCTGTGCTAAGAAACAGGAAATATAGTTTTATCTGTACGCTAGGAAAACAGGGAATATAGTTGTATCTGTGCTAGGAAAACAGGAATTACAGTTATATTTGTGCTAGGAAAACAGGAATTACAGTTTTATCTGTGCTGAGAAAACAGGAATTACAGTTTTATCTGTGCTAAGAAAACAGGAATTATAGTTTTATCTGTGCTAAGAAAACAGGAATTACAGTTTTATCTGTGCTAGGAAAACAGGAATGATAGTTTTATCTGTGCTAGGAAAACAGGAATTACAGTTTTATCTTTGCTAGGAAAACAGGAATTATAGTTTTATCTGTGCGAGGAAAACAGGAATTATAGTTTTATCCGTTCTAGGAAAACAGCATTTATAGTTTTATCTGTGCTAGGAAACAGGAAATATAGTTTTATCTCTGCGAGAAAAACAGGAATTATAGCTTCGATTTTTTTCCGTGGTTTTATCGGGGTATATTGAACATGTGTTATCCTGACAAAATCCGAACATAGGATTCACAATATTGGATGAAGGATGAAGGACAGGAGCAGGTTCAAGCTCAAGTGGAATGGGTTCAGTTATAGGTTTTAATGGGTTACGTTATAGGTTTCGATGGGGTTAGCTATAGGTTTGTAAATTAATCATTTGGGAATGAGCCGAATCTGTAATTTTGATAGATTATTATTATGAAGACTAAATTGTCTAAAATATTGTATTTGTTAGGATTGTATTCAGTTTAAATCTGATAAATTGATTTGATCAACCAAATAATTTTAATTGAATTTATTTCGGACGCTTGATTACTTCCAGATTATCTGGACAATATCTGGAGTAGAAAGAAACCATTAAATCTAGATCTATACTTTTTTTCTTAATGTTGATAAAAATTCAATTCTGGGGGACTTAAAAGTAATTGTGCCTTTACCACAAACTGTGATTTTGTAATCCCTATACCTTTTCCACCCAATGTCGTTCACCTTAAATATTTCAAACTATGAATTATGTTAAATCAAAGTTTAAAATATCAAAAGTTTACAAACTCAGGTTAAAAGGATCAGAAAATTTATGTTCTTGGCAAAGACTCAATTCATTTGAGTTGTAATCATACTTCAATGAGAAAATAAGCACTTAGCTTATCATTTACATAAGTACTACAGTCTACTAGAAATAATACAATTACTTAGTCACTTATCCTATTCGTGTATCCCAGGACCAGATTTAGTGAATCGCGAGACATAGTTGAATCACGTTATAGACTAAGTTGAACCATTTTTTTTGTTCGCTAAAATAAGAGAAGTGGTTCAACTAAGTCCACCCGGTTCAACTATGTATCGCAATTCAACAAACCTGGTCTCTGTGTATACAGTGAGAGCCAGACCACTGGAATAGAAAGACGACATTAAAGCATTAAAGCATGTTCATTAGACTTTTTAAAGTCATAGCTCGAGTCTAAAAGTCGTCTTCTCACTGTATTATTATTCTCCAGGTATGGTCAACCTGATACTATCAGTAGCCTACTGGAGTACGGTATCAATATAGACGTAGATAACCAGGGTTGGACTGCTCTCCAGCTGGCTGTACTCAACGGACACACGGATATAGTTTCAATCCTTCTCAACAAGGGAGCTGATACTAGCATTGTTAACAGGTTATATCAAATATATAAAGTTACCCGCCAAAGATAATAAACCTTGAAGACGACTGTACAGTGTACAGGTTTCAATCAGATTTTGTTTTTAATCTATAATGCAAGATTTTTCATCATTTATTCAATGAATAGTAAAGGAACTTATTTTCTCGCCTTTAATTTTAAATTTCGAACCTGAAACCGTTACGAAAGTGAAAGTTAAAAACATGAAAGGTTTTACTCACATCTCAAAAGACAAGGTGATTTTCTGACCACACAAAAACAAAGCAGCAAAACCGTTTGAAAATATAGACATTTATTGATGACAAAAAACATAGAAAAAAGTAAAAAAAAGTTTGAAATTTTATACAAATTGTCTGATACTTCCAGGGAGGGTAGAACATCCCTGGATATTGCACGTGAGGAAGGATTTGACCGAATAGTTGCATTGCTCTTGGAGAAAGAGTTCAAGGATGGATTCTCTAACCTTCCTTCTCCTCCCCCCACACCTCCTTCAGCTCCGGAGCTGGAACTGTTTGAAACCAACTCCGAGATATCAATAGAGCGAAAAGACAGAGAGGAGACCGAGGAGATGAAACCAAACTCAGTGAATACCTTCGACAGGTGCAGTAGCAACAAGAGGGGAGGGGAGAATGTTTCCCTCCTTAAAGGGATTGCAAGTGTAATTCCAAGTGGCCCTCCTTGTGAAGATGGCAATGTCTGATTTACAACGGTACCCTTGAAAGATTTGTATGAATTAATCATCAATGTGTTAGTTACTTTAAACTGTTTATTTTCATTTGTGGTTTCTCTGCAAAAATTATTTGCGCATTCCTTGTTAATATAAAGAAATGGAAAAACTCACTAAAACAAAAAAACACTTTTCGAGTTAGAAAAACGACGGAATCTTTCACATTTTTGATCAGATGAAGGTTTCAAGGGTACCGTTGCAAATCGAGCATTGCTATCTTTGCATGGAGGGTCACTTGAAATTATGCTTACAGTCCCAGGAAAAAATTTCAAATTGGAAAAAGCAAACTCATTGAGAATACAATACAGTAAATGCATGAACAGGCTCACATTTTTTGTAAAGAACCTCAAAACATTCAGATGGAAGATAAGGTTAAAGAAGGACCTGGAGATGGTGAGCAATGACGATCTCTCCAAGGACTATATCGAGGAGGAGGAGGTTGACAATGAGGTGAGTTTCTGGAAACCGGTTATGTTTTATTTTTTGAAAGTTTTTAGACATAAAAAATATATTCTTTCGGTCGGATTTAAAATTAGACTCTTACCTGGAACTTTTTGAAAAATAATTTTATCAGAAATCAAATGGCATCTTTTGTTTGTCACCAATTAATCAGACACGGCCGGATTTTGGCTGCATTTTTTAGGCAAAGTTCTTCTGCCACCTCTTCTTTAAAAAAAGATGGAATCAAAAAAGTTAGATCTTCTGCTTGCAACAAACTTAAACTTTCTATTACCTTTATCTTTGCAACCTTTGAATATTTGATTTTATGATTGCTTGCAGAAGTATATAGGGATAAAAAATCTGAGTTTGTCTCTTCGACATGGAGAACTAAATTAATGACCCTGACAAGCTCATTGTCACCATGGTCAACATGGCCGCCAAATACTAATAGTTACCAATTTGCCCGCTAGGTGAATATCGGCTGGAAAACATTTGATGAAGAAAAGCAAGAACTTCTTCAGCAGTTGGAGAAGGTTAAACTTAAGGAAATTTTCAGGTAGATCAAGCATACAGATTAGACAATGACATACAACAACAAGAGCAATATTTTTGATAACCTTAGAGGAAAATCTGTTTCCCTAGCTGTTTAATATGAAAAAATTGAGTTCAATTTTATTGTAAAACAAATAATTACAGCTTATCGAACAGTATTAAAGTAAACTTTTAAGATTTTCCAGAGTCCGCGATTTAAAAGCTTTGGCTCGAGTCTTAACTCCTTAGACCCAGGCTCAAGGCTCAATCTTAGACCCAGCTTATAAATCAGCTGACGACAGCCTGTGTCACGTGATCGACAGCTGCCAGCTTTTAGACTCGACTAAAGAAGTTAGGCTCAATGAAAATAAAATCGACCAATTGGTTGGTTTTAGTGGAGATTTTGTCTCAATGTTGAGTGTGGTTCTAGTCAAATACCGAAATCTGCCACTTCCAACCATGTAAATCCGCCAAATTCAATAGTAAACTGGTTTAATAACCTAAGTTTGTTGACAATTAATTGCAAATTAACTCCCAAAGCTCGATTCTTAAATAAGACTCAATGACAGCATAGACCTCTGAGTCTTATTTTCCAGAATTTTTAAATCGCAGCTCAGGCTCAGTTTTCAAAAATCAGAAACTGTGTATTGTTTCGCGCATTTTCTTAATTTCTAATTTGATGATTTTCCATGTTCCAGGTTACAGGATGAGATACGAAAGATGGAGAGTAGGAAGGAAGGATATTGTGAGAAGAATGAAAGACAGAAAGCTTTGATCGAATCAGAAATTGAAAACCTCAAAAAATCGATCGACAATGCAGAGGTAGAAACAAAATTTCATTCAATTTTTTTGCAAATTAAATTTTTTTGAATTGAATAAATTAGCTTTTCCTAGCTTAAAAACTGATAATACTATAGCACCCTTTTTAAGCTACATTCAATACGATTCCTGAATTGGGTTTTTATTTTATTCTTTAAACTTTTGTTTAGGATAGTGCTAAACTACGTTACCAGAGTTTAAAGGAAGATATAACCCAACTATCCGTCCTACTGGAGAACTCCAGGGTTGAGAATGAACTGCTCCAAACCCTTCTCAACCATCAGATTAGACATGAATTCTGTCAATCAACTTTAAGGAAGACGGAACTCATTGATCAATTAATTAATGCACAGGTTTAATACTTTTACATTTCTATGATATAATAAAGAATTAGACTTTTTGGGAACGAGATATTTTGTGTTTTATTTTATTTTATAAGGAATTGAGTCTTTGCAACTAATTCTAAACTTTCAATCTATAAATCTTTGCAACCTGATGGTGTAAACCTTTGATATTTCAAACTTGAATTATCTTGATCTAACAGAATTCATAGTTTAAAATATTGAAAAGAACTGGAATTGCACTACCTGGTAAAATAAATGGAGTCAAAATTTAATATTTTCCACTGTTTGTAGAAAGAGGAGAAGGATGAACTGGAACAGTCGAAGCTTATCAAATACCAAGAGCTTGAAGCTAGTCACACCTTCTCTCAGGTAGCTATAGGAGCACAGGGTTCAATCCTATCATATACCAGGAGCTTGAAACTAGTTACACCTTCTCTCAGGTAGCTATAGGAGCACTGGGTTCAATCTATCATATACCAGGAGCTTGAAACTAGTCACATCTTCTCTCAGCTAGCTATAGCAGCACAGGGTTCAATCCTATCATATACCAGGAACTTGAAACTAGTTACACCTTCTCTCAGGTAGCTATTGTAGCACAGGGTTCAATCCAATCATATACCAGGAGTTTGAAACTAGTTACACCTTCTCTCAGGGAGCTATAGTAGCACAGGGTTCAGTCCTATAATATAAAACTTTACACACCGGTCTGAAGTAGGTCATACCTTCTCTCCAGGTAACGTTATAAGCACAGGGTTCCAAACCATCAATAACAGGAGCTGTAGACATGGTCATAATTTCAATGTTGTAAAGCTTTGGATTTTTATGTCGATTGTAAAGAGAGGTGCATGACAAGTCCTACGTTAAGAAACCTTTTGATAAAACAGGTTGATAAAATGTCTAAAAGATGTAACAGAACTCTTTTCAGGTTGAGACGGAGAAAATTAAGAGAAAGATTCGGATCCTGGAGGAGGAATTAGAGATTCTAGACATGGAGAAGGATCGGAGAAATAAATCCTTCCGAGAAACTATTGTCAAGCTCCGAGGTGACCTGGAGAAGGCACAACGGAGCTCAACTGCTCAACAGGTAGTTTTAAACCTAAAATAGATTAAGCTTAAATGACTTAAATTCGTACACAAACTTCTCTGCTAAGTGAAAACCCTGATCTAATTTTCTAACACAGTCCAAATTCTCTAACCATTCTCTGACTGAAGAAAGGTCGTCTTCGAAAATCAGGGATAGCTGGAAAAGCTGTTAGTGTTATGCTTTCAGTTTTTTTATGGTTTTCATGCAGTGCTTAGAATGTAGATCCGCTACATTTTGGCTTCCTGGATCCGGATCCGCAAAAATGTGTGGATCCAAGGATTCAGTTCCATGGCACACTTGTTTCATCTTTCCTATAGTGTCTGATCCAATCGGGGTTCAGTCACGTGAATGTGTACAATACTACTTAAACAAGGGTGAAGGGGAAAATATCAACCAAAAAACCTCAAATTGTTGAAAAATGAGGGTTATCAAAAAACCTCTGACTGTTTCTCAAGTTTAAGCATAAAATCAAGTAAAAAAATAAAAGCAAATGTGGATACTTTTTCATGAGTTAAAAAATCAGTAAAGAAATGTTCATGATCTGGATTCGGATCCTAAGCACTGTTTTCAGAACCGGATCTGCATTAAAATTAAATGGGTCCTAAGCATTGTTTTAAGAACCGGATCTGCATTAAAATCAAATGAATCCTAAGCACTGTTTTCAGAACCGGATCTGCATTAAAATTGAATGAATCCTAAGCATTGTTTTCAGAACCGGATCTGCATTAAAATTAAAAGGATACTAAGCATTGTTTTCAGAACCGGATCTGCTTTAAAATTAAATGGATCCTAAGCATTATTTTCAGAACCGGGTCTGCATTAAAATTAGATGGATCCTAAGCACTGTTTTCAGAACCGGATCTGCATTAAAATCAAATGGATCCTAAGCATTGTTTTCATAACCGGATCTGCATTAAAATTAGATGGATCCTAAGCACTGTTTTCAGAACCGGATCTGCATTAAAATTAAATGGATCCTAAGCATTGTTTTCAGAATTGGATCTCCATTAAAATTAAATGGATCCAATAAGCACTGTTTTCCTGAATGTTATTTTGTTCAGAATGAGGAAGATTGTAACCTGGCCTGCCCTGTTTGCCTAGAGCTTCTGAAACCCCCTTTAAGGTTTGTAAAACCCTTTCCTAAGTTTCAAGACATTATTTTTTTCATTTATCTTCTATTTCGCAAATTGAATCGTCAATATTATTATATATTACTAAAGGTAGAGAACCATATAATTATATATTCACGATACGAACTATACAATGTTAAACTTCTCTCAGCTCTAGAATTTTAAAGTTTAACTTGTTTTTGATACAACCCTAACCCTAACCCATTAAGTATAAAAATGTCAATTTTTTATCTTTTTCTTTTAATGAACACATGACAGTCAGCTGTAAAAGTTCTCGGTGGATTCTTTGTAATAAGGACTGTAAGTGTAGAGTATAGAGTTATATATATAGCCTCTCTCAAATCTAAAACGTTGTTTTCCTAGCTTAAAAAGCGTTTAATTTCCGCATCCGCATGTCACTATTTTAAGAAATTAGAATCTTAAAATAATGAATTTTCTGAAAGAAAATTAGGATATCTAATGCATTCGTGATCAAGACAGGTGTGAAGGGTACCACTGTGTATCGGACCCCCCACTTTATAAATGGAGCCACTTGAACTTAACGTCTTAACATTTCAAAACTTCAGTTTCAATAATTATTAGATCTAATTTTATTATTTTCAGGATATTTCAATGTCCCGAAGGCCATATTCTCTGTGAAAACTGTAAAGAGAACCCAGCGATGGTTCACTGCCCACAGTGTAGGTTAGTAAGAGATGGAAAAATCTTTTAATAGACGAAATGACTTAAATATCTTTAAGTCACTATCTTAATTTTTAAGTTTAACTCAATCATTAATTTAATCAATCTCTCATTGGCAAAAATTGGAAGAATAAGAGATCAGGAAACTTACACATTTGAATATTTACAAATATGAAAACCCCAATAATTGAAAAACTGCCAGCTGAGAAGAAAGAGGTCCTTTGAAATTGAAGTTATTTTTAATTCGTCCCGCGTTCAGTCAGAATATCGAGTTGTTTTCATTTTATCCTTGGTTACTATAATTAAATAATTGTTTGGTGCCTATTTTAAAATTTGATGTTTTAAATCAAAGCTTTGAGGACTCGATAACAAAGTCTGATTTATGATGAAATTCAAATCTACACAAAGAAATTACCAATAGTTCTGATAAATGAAACACACTGTAGCTCTAAAAAAATCCCTCAAAAAAACAAATTTTTTTAACATTTTCTCAGAGTGCACCTGGAGTCTAACTGTAGCCGGAACCGAGCCCTGGAGGAAATTGCGAGAACATTCTTCACATAATCGGCGGCATCAAAATTTGCATTATTTCTTTGATCTCATCACTCATGTAAACAAAAATACTCAGTTTCGTCAATAAATAGTTACCATACTTATGTACACTGATAGTTCGTTAGAAAAAACAGTTTTATTTAAAATTATCAAGATTTAAAAAATATAAATTACGCAAATTACTTTCTTACTTTTCGGGTGCACATTAATTAAAAATATAAAAGATCCAACTTCCGTAGTGTTATAAAAACAATCTTTTCTTCTGGAGACTTCAACTAGCTAAATAGAGACATCGTAGTCATACATATAGGGTTGTTAATCGTTTTTGAAAACGACAGTTAAACGATAGTTTTTTTATTTCGTTTTAAGATCGTGTTCAAAAATGTTTGTTTCGTTTTTGGAAAAAAAACTTTCTTTTTTAAAAATGACCCACTCGTTTTGAACTTTTAGAAAACGAATAATGATCAAAAATGATCGGCGATCGTTTTTTAAACGACTGATTTTTAAAAAACAGTCGTATAAAAAATTGTCATTGATAAATATGTTAACGATCATTAACAAAGAGTTGTCATTAATTATTGTTAACGAGACGACGAACTTAAAAAAAAAAAATCTTTTTCGAAAAGAAGAATTTTTTTAAAAACGATCGTTATAAAAATGAGCATTTTGAAAACGACCGTTTCAAAAAAAAATTTTTTTAAACGATAGTACAACTATAGTTTCATTATCGTTTTTTTTGTCGTCATTTTCATAACGAAACGATCTTTTTCAAAAAACTGAAAACGTTAACATGCCTACATACATATATTAAGCAAGATTTTATATCAAACTGAAGAGCAAGGAATTGTATTAAACATTTCTACACAAATTGAATATAGAGTTTTACTTTCATAACAAATGGTATCACATTTAAACTGTACTACATACATATTTCATAAAAAATTGAATTTCTAGTTTTCAAGCTGCCAAGTTCTGGTTTTGATTCAAATTAAATAATCTAAATATATAAAATAATAATCTCTGTTTGTTTGTAATTCCGATTTTAAACGATTTCCTCAAATTTTGACTGGAAAACTCTAGCTGCAAGAAACACGGGAATGTTCTTGGCTCGAACGGTCTAAATTAGACATGTTGACTCTTATATTAAAACATTGCTGGGTTCCCAAGCTAGTATAAAATAGTTTTGTAAACAAACAAAGTTAGTTTAAATTAGTGTCTATGCTATACAGAAATTATAAACGGAAATTCGGAAATATTACAAGTTTAGTTTTCTGATATTTCCGGAAATATTACAATTTTAATTTTCTGATATTTCCGGAAATATTACAACTTTAATTTTCTGATATTTCCTGTCCATACTGGAAATATTTTCCTGGAAGAACGGGATTATATACTTCTGTATGCTTGATCCAGGGCCTGGAGCACCTTATCGTTCTCCCCCTCCTTGAAGTAGGTCGGCAGCAGTCTCTTCAACTATATCAACAAGATTATCAACATCAATTGAATGAAGGAATGGAAAACTTGCCACATATTCTAATATTATAATCACTATATCTTTGCAACCTTATAAAATATGAGAACATTTGATGTGTTAAACTACAACTAAGCCGTCTATTTTGAGTAGGTCTACTACACCAGGTTGCTAAGATATGTCTTCAACTCCTTTGAATTTGAATACAACATTTATAAAACGACAAAATCCTGAAATTACTGAAATGGAATGGTCTTTGCATCTAACTCAATTTTCTAATTCCTATATCTTTGCAACCTGATAGTACGTAAACCTTTGACATTTCAAAAGTATATTATTAGATCTAACAGAGTTCATAGTTGAACATATCAAAGGTCTACGACTTCGGGTTGCAAGGTTATGAGATTAGAAAAATTCAGATTTTGTGAAGAGAAGCAAAAGTTGAACAGTTTCCCTAGAAACTTATTTTAAGGGTTTAATAGATAATTATCAATTAAAAGCAGAGTATATTTAAATATCTATTATGAACAAGTTTATATTTAACCATGCATTCTATAAATAGGTTTTGGATTGTTAGGGTCCATGGGGAAAGGGGGGGTAGGGTTCGAGGGGAAAGGGGGGGTAGGGTTCGAGGGGAAAGGGGGGTAGGGTCCGAGGGGAAAGGGGGGGGGTACATTTTGGAAACTCCACATGTTTGCATTTTACCTTTGTAAGATACTGACTCTTAATTACAGGTTCAATAACAATCTGCTCCGGTCTTCCCTGAAGCCCGGATAGTCCAGATAGTCCAGTTAATCCGGGTAATGTGGGTAGTCCCGGGTCCAAAGCTGAACCAAGGTTGATTGTATCTGAAGCAGTATACCCCCAAGCTTGTAAACTACCACTAGGAACCTTGAAACAAGAAAACATCACACTGCAAGCCCTCATGCAATAATCAATGAGAATTTTGCCAATTACTTCTTAAAGACTATGGCTAAATAAAAGTGTTTACTAGTTTTTAAATGAAAAGGTTTAGGGCTACAAAAAAGCATAAGGGAGTTAGAGCGGTAAACTCAAAGCCCAACTTGATCCTGTCTTAAACATTGATATTTTATAGCAGGCTTAACCTAGGTGAACAGAACAAAGAACTTTAGAATGGTGGATTATCGGGATTAATGCTTGATCCACTTTTTTATTAATCTCGAGATTAAATAATGCTTTTATCCTCTTGTTATTAATCTCCAGATTAATTAACTGATCAGGATTAAGGATATCCCATTCTAAAGTTTTCAGCTCAGAGCAAAGAACTTTAGAATGGTGGATTATCGGGATTAATGCTTGATCCACTCTTTTTCTTAATCTCGAGATTAAATGATGCTTTTATCCTCTTGTTATTAATCTCCAGATTAATTAACTGATCGGGATTAAGGATATCCCATTCTAAAGTTTTCAGCTCAGAACAAATAAACTCGAAGTTTCATCTTTGCCACAGACATTTAATTTGTCAAACAAAAAATTCTGCTAGATCTAATAGTTATAGTATTAAGTGTCAATGAATTACACAATTAGATTGCAAAGATGTAGGGTTTGGAAAATTAGAATCTAAGTAATAAGTTTCTTATGTAATATAAAAGATGGCTCTAACCACACCAATTCCATGACAAAATAGAAAATATATAATTTCCTTCAAATTTTTAAATATTTTATCCTTCTATTAACTTAAAGTTTTTAATACCTGTAAAGGGGAAGAAGGCTGTGCGGCTTGAATTTGATTAAAACTAAACATATTCACAATCAATAACAAAGAGAAATTTTATTTCCGTAACTTATCCGTGTAGAAAAACTTGCTCGTCACATCTAGACCAAATAAACAAGGTCTTTCAGTGGTTTTATACTGGTGCAACTTTGCAACCTCGTAACGTTCCTAGTTTACACCCAAGAGTAAGAAAAGCAAAACTTGTTTGGTTGCATTTGTTTCTTATAGCTCTTCAAAAATAGGTCCAGTGTGGTTTTAAAATTCGGTATTAATGATTCTCCAAACCTCACAGAGTAAATGAAGTAGGTGCAATTGTTCCACATTTTTAAAAAACATATTTCGGTCTGGGTTGATCCTCTTCAGTTCTTGAAATTTGTTTTGTATAAAAACATATCAGGTTTGAATCTAAGCTCTATTTATTTTAATTCATGTTTTATTATTGTGAATGTTCCTTTTTTCTACAGTGAAAACTGAATCCTCGTAGTTTTCTAAAATATTGCTGTTCAACAGGACACAGTTAGCTCCGTAGTCAATCTTACTCCGCACATTTCCTTCATACACAGATATACACAGATAGGTAGACACATAGACATACAGACAGATACACAGATATACACAGATAGATAGACACATAGACATACAGACAGACACACGGATATACACAGATAGATAGACACATAGACATACAGACAGATACACAGATATACACAGATAGATAGACACATAGACATACAGACAGATACACGGATATACACAGATAGATAGACACATAGACATACAGACAGATACACAGATATACACAGATAGATAGACACATAGACATACATACAGATGCACAGATATTAGGAAGATAGACATACAGATAGATACACAGATATACACAGATATTAGGAAGATAGACATATAGACAGATACACAGATATACACAGATAGATAAACACATAGACATACAGACAGATACACAGATAGATAGACACATAGGCATACTGATAGATACACAGATGTTAGGAAGATAGACATTAAGATAGAAACACAGATATTCACAGATATTAGGAAGATAGACATACAGATAGAAACACAGATATTCACAGATATTAGGAAGATAGACATACAGATAGAAACACAGATATACACAGATCGATACCCACATAGACATACAGACAGATACACAGATATTAGAAAAATAGACATATAGATAGATACACAGATATACACAGATAGATAGACACATAGGCATACTGACAGATACACAGATATTAGGAAGATTGACATACAGATAGAAACACAGATATTCACAGATATTAGGAAGATAGACATACAGATAGAAACACAGATATTAGGAAAATAGACATACAGATAGAAACACAGATAAACAGATATTAGGAAGATAGACATACAGAATGAAACGCAGATATTCACAGATATTAAGAAGATAGACATACAAATAGAAACACAGATATACACATATATTAGGAAGATAGACATACAAATAGAAACAAAGATATACACAGATATTAGGAAGATAGACATACAGATGGAAACATAGATTCACAAATATTAGGAAGATAGACATACAGATGGAAACATAGATTCACAGATAATATGAGGATAGACATACAGATAGAAACACAGATAATATGAAGATAGACAACCAGATCACTGAGATCTTGCAAGGTTACATTTGTTGCATAACACGTGCTGGGTCGACTCTACACTGTAGTCCAGACTGGACAGTACAGGTAGAAAAGTTGACTATGAATTGTGTATATATATATCCCTGCGGTGAATCCGATATAATGTATCGAGGTTAAAGCTGATGTAGATGAATCCGTCCATTTAATAATTGCAAACTCCTTCGCAAACGGAGATCCGTTAAACCCAACACTGAAATAAATATTAGTGAATTTCTACTCTAGCAAGGATTTCCATAACAAGTTTTGCCTATAAAACATCTAGGATATGGTCGAAAGTGTCTGAGATAAAGTCAATTCATAATTTTCCTGCAAATCTTTATGGTCTTTTAAAATAAAAATTAGTCAACTTTTAAAGATAACTTCGCCAAGCCCAAGCAGGATGTTATTTTACATTATCATCCCAAGGGGCAGGTAAATAACATAACATTCCACCTTAGTAGTACATTGGGGGTAATCATATAATAGTAAAAGTGTAGTAAAAAACTAATAATTTTTATCCGAAAACTTAATACAGTTTATGCTGATTCAGAATATTAGTTACATTGCCAGATTTGTATTATGAAACATGATCGAATGAGACGTAATTGAACATTATCAGCTTTAAAAATTGACCAATTGATGATTAGAAAACACCATATTGAAATATGGCTCAAATGAAATACCTGAATTTGCCCATTTTTTGGTATTCAAATTGTGAATTTTCATTGTAAACAACAAAAATTTCATATTTTGATTATTCATTTTTTTTACAGATTGGAAAAATTCCAAACAATAACAAAGTTTCCAGCAATTTGAAAATTGGCAAGATTAAAAGGACACCCTGAAATGAAGAAATGTTTAAGTATGGTATCAATAGCTAGAATTATTTTTTACAGTGTAAACTTAACTAATATTTATAAACATCTATACTAAGATATATTTTTATTTATATTTTACCTAAGAAGACCACCGTACCCCTCCTCATATTTATATTGGATCCAGAATCCTACAAACCCATTCTCAAGTTTTCTCTGGTTACCACGAAACATTAAACCAAGATATTATCACAATCACTAGATATATTCTTTCCATCATTCCATGTCGGTACGAAAAGCCCCGATGAGCAAGTCCCAAAAGAAGAGGGGGAAACCCTCAAAAATGATCACAAAACCAGGTTGATTCATGCATTTAAAAAGTATTTCATTTGACTCACACTCTGTATGTTGTAAATATATGCTGATATTGAGAAATTTCTCTAAAAATATCACAATGCGTCGTAATTAAAATCTGAAGTTGCAATGTTCAAGGATCCCGCAATAGTGATAAAACTTTCATTATCTATCTTGGCCGTTTTTCAATAATTTTTAAAGGAACTGTAACTTGTAAGTGTAAATTTAAGATGCTAAGATGCCAATGCCCGATTCACAACAGTACACTTATAAGCTTTGTCTGATCAAGGATGAATTAGATATCAATGTATACAATTTTGAAAACTGATTATTTTCCATTGTGGGCTTTCAATAAAAGTGACTTGCACATTTCTACTGCAGAAAAACATATTGGAATTATCAGACTGTAAAACTTGTCAACCTAGAAAAACAACAATATCTTCCACAATTTTGAACATATAAAGGTTTCAAGGGTACCATTGTGAATCGGGCATTACCATCTTTGAAAAAAGGTTCACTTTAACATACGCTTACAGTCCCTTTAAGAAAAGAAGAGTTTAGTATAATTTATCCTGTTAAATATCAAGGTTTAAGTTTTCCTTAGTTTCATAATCTGAGAACTCCGCAACCTGTCGATCCGTCTCATCAGAGAAGAAGAAGTTCCTGGTGATCTTACTCTCACAGATCGTGATCTTCCCCGTCTTCCTGTCCACCTTGATAGTTAACATTTTCCGACGATCCTTCTCAGAGTCCAGCAATCTAAATATAAATTAGGACTTAAATATTAATCTTAGACGAATTGGTTGAACCTTCCACCAACTAAACCCACTTGTTGGTTTAGGAAAATGTTCAAAATCTGTTAGAATAACAATTAAATTACAGGAAATGAGAATTCTTGAAAAGTATTGCTATTAGAGGAATTAAGTTTTTTTGTCACAAACTCAAATTTTCTTTTCAACCTGATGGTGTAAATAAAGCTTTGATACTTCAAACTTTTGTTTCATCTGACATAATTCATAGTTTGGTTTGCAAGGAAATAGAGATTATAAACTAAGAGTTTGTGACAAAGACTCAATTCTTTTGTATATTAAGTGTATTTTCAAATAAGACGAGTATTTAAATCAGATTTAATTCAATTTTAAACTAAATATTAAATAAAATATATATTTTTGAAACCTGATAACAGCAGTATCATCTCCCTTGTTCAGAGAATCAATGCTCTTCCCTCAAGTAAGAAACATAATTATCAAAAAAGTATTTTTAATTTAATTTAATTATTCAAAATAGGAATATGTATAAATAATTATTTTTTGTGTAAAAAAATGTTTAGAAATCAGATTACAAGATTAGGGAGCTAGAAGAGATGAATTGTAATACGGCAAGAACCAGAAAACTCTATAAACCAGATTACAAGAATAGGAAGCTAAAAGAGATGAATTGTAATACAGTAAGAACCAGAAAACTCTATAAACCAGAATAGGGAGCTAGAAGAGATGAATTGTATTACAGTAAGAACCAGAAAACTCTATAAACCATATTACAAGAATAGGGAGCTAGAAGAGATGAATTGTAATACAGTAAGAACCAGAAAACTCTATAAATCAGATTACAAGAATAGGGAGCTAGAAAAGATGAATTGTAATACAGTAAGAACCAGAAAACTCTATAAACCATATTACAAGAATAGGGAGCTAGAAGAGATGAATTGTAATACAGTAAGAACCAGAAAACTCTGGACTAAGAAGACGACTTTAAGGCTCTAGTTATTGCTTAAAATAGTTCAATGATCATGAGATACAGCAATTGTGATTTAATAAACTACTAGAAAAACTATTTTCTTTGTAACAACACATATGTACTTGATTAACAACACATATATACTTGATATTGTAACCTTGATTTCTAACAGAAACTTGTTCTATTAGAAACCCGGTCTTTTAGAAACCGGTACTACAAGAAACCAGTTCCACCGGAAATCTGTTCTTTTAGAAAACGGTTCTACCAGAAACCGGTTCTAACAGAAACCTGTTATTTTAGAAACCGGTACACCCAGAAACCATGTCAACCATTTCACAAACCAGTTCTGTAAAAAAAATATACGCGAGTAAAAACTTAAATTTTTAAGTGAATATAACTTAGGTAATAATGTTTCTATAAATGTTCCTAAAGATACAAAGAACACCCCGACATCAGCTCCCCTCTGCTCGTCGTGCTGAAGAGGGAATACGGTCTCCGGCACCCACTCCGCCTTGTCCTGGATACTAAATCTCCGGGAGCACCCAGAGACAGTACCCTTGTCTGCAGCAGTGAGAGGAGCACACCCTTCGATAAGTCCTGTCCTTGCATCAGGTTCAAAAGGTTTATGACCGGGAACACATTGACAGGACTTGTTAAACTTAGGCATCTCCCGGTCTAGATAATAATATATATTGGATAGTGACATAGAAGGATGGATAGGATAGAACAAGGATGGACAGGATAGAACAAGGATGGTCAGGATAGAACAAGAATGAACAGGATAGAACAAGGATGGACAGGATAGAACAAGGATGGATAGGATAGAACAAGGATGGACAGGATAGAACAAGGATGGACAAAATAGAACAAGAATGGACAGGATAGAACAAGGATGGACAGGATAGAACAAGGATAGACAGGATAGAACAAGGACGGACAGGATAGAACAAGGATGGACAGGATAGAACAAGAATGGACAGGATAGAACAAGGGTGGACAGGATAGAACGAGGATGGACAGGATAGAACAAGGATGGACAGGATAGAACAAGAATGGACAAGATAGAACAAGAATGGACAGGATAGAACAAGAATGGACAGGATAGAACAAGAATGGACAGGAAAGAACAAGGATGGACAGGATAGAACAAGGATGGACAGGATAGAACAAGGATAAACAGTCGATATAACAAGGATGGACAGTTGATAGAACAAGGATCGACAGTCGATAGAACAAGGATGGACAGGATAGAACAAGGATGGACAGGATAGAACAAGGATGGAAAGGGTAGAACAAGGATGGACAGTCAATAGAACAAGAATGGACAGTCGATAGAACAAGAATGGACAGTCGATAGAACAAGAATGGACAGGATAGAACAAGAATGGACAGGATAGAACAAGAATGGACAGTCGATAGAACAAGGATGGACAGGATAGAACAAGGATGGACAGGGTAGAACAAGAATGGACAGGATAGAACAAGAATGGACAGGATAGAACAAGAATGGACAGGATAGAACAAGAATGGACAGGATAGAACAAAAATGGACAGAATAGAACAAGGATAGATAGATTAGAATAGAGTAAGAAATAACTGGAATATATATTTTCCAAGATAGATAAAAAGACAGATAGATAAAAAGATAGATAAATAAGCAAACTAAGATTTTAAAATCCTAGTGTTTACCTTCCCACAGTGCAGTAAAAGTGTTAAACAAATATTTTTCAATGATTTATACTAAAATTTCCATGCTCAAAGTATTTTCAATCAAATCATAAATTCTTTTTTGTTATTAATCTTTCCTACTTTCATTTGAGGTCTTGCTTTATACAACAATGAAATATCTAAAACCATGGTAGTCTATCTTACCTAGGGAACAAACTGTGTTTGGAAGATGGTCACAGTGATAGTTCGCAAAACAGGCATCTCTCAGGGTTACAACTTTACGTATAGGATCATAGCAACCTTTCGACTCCGGGATACGAATCCGTCCAACCTTACACCAACACGACTTGAGCAGAGTATCTCCCTCGGACCACTGATCATACGGTTCAGGTCTTATACCTGGATCCAAACCCTCGTTGAGAGGTCTAGATCCGCACACAGTCTCCGGGTAGTCCTCACAGTCATTATCCGTGACACAAGTATCCGGGAAGTGAAGTCCGGGCATATCGCAGTTTACACCGAATGATGCCGATGAACCGGTCGGAGTGGTTAAACCGAAATAATATGGTTCATTAGGACCTTCTCTCAGTATATCCGAATAGTTTCCGATCGGATCAATTAATGGATCTCCGATTTTTCCAACGGATACGGTTATATCTTCCTGTATTGAGATCCAGAATCCTTGATATTCGTCTCGTTCATCCAGATCTACAACTCTATTAAACGATGCTTTCTTTCCATCCTGCTGGACGTATCCTCCCCCGTTTCTCTGGGTCTCAAGTTTACTGATGTGTATGGAGACAGACCCAACCCTAAACAGTTTAATGCTGTACATGGTGAGGTTCTGTTTGGATCTGTTGACGAGCCTAACCACGACATGGTCATTGTTCCCTCCCTTCTCCCCTAGTTTGGTATAGAACACGCCAACCTTCGTCTGGGAGGCACGGTCGTAGGCCAGGGGGATTAGAATATCGGGCATCCATTCATCAGCACTACGTTTCCAGAGAAATTATAATTTCTTTACAGTCGTCGTCGCATATTTCAATAAAATTAAGACGAATTTTGATTTAAATAAGACACACATTAACATTGAAACAAAAAGAACAGCTTCTATTTGATTGTCTCGTAAAATTGTAATTTAAAAAAAAGCTTGTTAGAATACCAGGATAAACCAAGAATACCAGGATAAACCAAGAATATCAGGATAAACCAAGAATACCAGGATAAACCAAGAATAACCAGGATAAACCAAGAATATCAGGATAAACCAAGAATACCAGGATAAACCAAGAATACCAGGATAAACCAAGAGTACCGGGATAAACCAAAAATACCAAAGCTGAAAACTTTAGAATGGTGGATATCGATCTCCTCTTTTTCTTAATCTCCAGATTAAATAATGCTTGTTCACCTCTTGTCATTAATCTCCAGATTAATTTACCAATCGGGATTAAGGATATCCCATTCTAAAGTTTTCAGCTCTGGATAAACAAAGAATACAAGGATAAACCAAGAATACCAGGATAAACCAAGAATATCAGGATAAACCAAGAATACCAGGATAAACCAAGAATACCAGGATAAACAAGAATATCAGGATAAACCAAGAATACCAGGATAAACCAAGAAAACCAGGATAAACCAAGAATATCAGGATAAACCAAGAATACCAGGATAAACCAAGAATATCAGAATAAATCAAGAATATCAGGATAATCCAAGAATACCAGGATAAACCAAGAATACCAGGATAAACTAAGAATACCAGGATAAACTAAGAATACCGGGATAAACCAAGAGTACCGGGATAAACTAGGAATACCAGGATTAACCAAAAATATCAGGATAAACCAAAACTATCAGGATAAATCAAGAATATCAGGATAAACCAAGAATACCAGGATAAACTAAGAAAACCAGGATAAACCAAAAATACCAGAATAAACCAAGAATATCAGAATAAACCAAGAATACCAGGATAAACCAAAAATACCAGAAAACTAAGAATACCAGGATAAATCAAGAATACCAGGATAAACCAAGAATACCAGGATAAACCAAGAATACCAGGATAAACCAAAAATACCAGGATAAACCAAAAATACCAGAAAACCAAGAATACCAGGATGAAACAAGAATACCAGGATAATTCAAGAATACCAGAATTAACCAAGAATACCAGGATATACCAAGAATATCAGGATAAACCAAGATTATAAGGATAAACCAAGATTATAAGGATAAACCAAGAATACTGGGAAATCAACTCTAATTTGTCTGTTCCTAATTTTATCAAAATATTTCTCACAGTTTCCATTGTTCGCCAGCTTTACTGGAGATAATAATGAATCTGACCAAGCTCCGTATCCAGGTTCTTGTCCAGCTACTAATCCTACTAAGACTATTAATTCAATTCATGTTAGGTTAAGTTTAATAAGGGAGAGAGGAAGGAGGTAAACTACAGGGTCACCCACAAAGGATGAGACTTCAGAGACGACTGTATTTAATTTTTATTGTTTATTTCGTTATATTCATGATTCCCTGCAACTGTAGAAAAATTGGGTCTTTCTCTGATTTTCTACTCCCCTTATCTTAACAACTCAATGTAGTATACCTTAGATATTTCAATCTATGAAATATGTTAGATTAAATATTCTAAGCTAGAAATATCAAAGTTTTACGCCAGCAAGTTTGAAAGATCTGTGGATTAGAAATTTTAAGTGTTTTGTTTCTTTCTTTGCTGAATCATTTAATAAACCTTTTAAAGACTATGTTCAAGTCAGAAGACTTAATTTAAACTTGGAATCGTAATATTTCAAGAATAAATTAAGTCTTCCGGCTTAATTTGGGGTTTGTGGCCAAAATTTAATTCCTTTGTTTCTTTCTTTGTTGAATCATTTAATAAACCATTTAAAGACTACGTTAGAAGCCTTAATTTAACCTTGGAGTCGTAATATTTCAAGAATTTCACGACACATCTTTACAGTCTCATCCTTTCAGGGTAAACCTGTATAATTGGCAGTTTTAAGAAAAAGCATATGAAAATTGCAAGGACTTGTCATCTGGATGATGTACTACTGAACTGAACACTTGCTACAAATTTTAATTTTCTTATTCCTTTTTCATCACAATCGTTGTCGAAGACCCTTGATTTTCTGTTAGATCAAAACGTTTAAAGATTAAAATATCCAAGGTTATACCACCAAAAGAATGAAAAAATACAGGAAATCAAAAAATGTATGCCAAACAAAGAATTTTAAACATGAAAAGAGAAGCTTTTTCGTAAAAATTTAAAGATCAAAAAAATACCTGGAGAAGATGAAAATTTGATTTGATTGGAGGTTGCGATAAAACTTGAATGAGCAGCTTTCCCATCATTACATAGGTCAGAGTAACAGCAGGATACTAGGTTAATAACATTTTTTATTTCAGACCCACATGGTAAACTAGAGAAATCGGAACGCTTCGCAACACTACCTTTTATCGTCATTCGTGAGTTGTACGTTTATCCGGACCAATATTCTTTATTATTTGTGAATCTTTGAATATACTATTGTAATTAATTTGCATTTTTTATGATCTTTAGGAAAGTCTTTTTTAGCAGTGGTAGGCGATTATATTACTAGAATGAAGACGACCTGATCCTCCGTATATATTGTAGTATAGATCAATGAACCTGGAATACCTGATCCTCCGTATGCATTGTAGTTTAGATCAATGAACCGTGAATACCTGATCCTCCGTATGCATTGTAGTAAAGATCAATGAACCTGGAATACCTGATCCTCCGTATGCATTGTAGTATAGATCAATGAACCTGGAATACCTGATCCTCCGTATGCATTGTAGTATAGATCAATAACCTGGAATACCTGATCCTCCGTATGCATTGTAATATAGATCAATGAACCTGGAATACCTGATCCTCCGTATGAATTGTAGTTTAGATCAATGAACCTGGAATACCTGATCCTCCGTATGCACTGTAGTTTAGATCAATGAACCTGGAATACCTGATCCTCCGTATGCATTGTAGTATAGATCAATGAACCTGGAATACCTGATCCTCCGTATGCATTGTAGTATAGATCGATGAACCTGGACCAGAACTTGATCTTCTCCTCTGTACATTCTTCTGCTGCGGATACTAGGTTCTAAATCATAGAAACATTATTTACTAAACCACACTTGCATCTTGCTATTTGCAATTTCAAATTATTTTACTTTTAAAAAGATTGTCATGTCCGATTCACAACGGTACCCTTTAAACCTCTAGCTGGAAAACAAAGAGAAAATTTCGACGATATCTAAGCTTGAAAAGGGTATTAATTCTGATAATTCTCCATTATTTCTGAAGCAAGAAATGCGCAAGTTACTTTTATAGGGAAACGGCAAAAAAACAACCATCAGTTTTTAAAAGCAAAACATGGATAACTATTTCATATTTCATCAGTCTAAACTATATCTGACTACTATTCATATTGAAGAATATAGATACAAGATAGTAGATAGTAGATAGTAGATAGTAGATAGTAGATAGTAGATAGTAGATAGTAGATAGTAGATAGTAGATAGTAGATAGTAGATAGTAGATAGTAGATAGTAGATAATAGATAGTAGATAGTAGATAGTAGATAGTAGATAGTAGATAATAGATAGTAGATATTAGATACTAGAAAGAGGCACAAAGACTTTGGCAACACAACAAAACGGAAGACTTGTTGGTTATACTAGCTTGGGAACCCGGCTTTGTCAAATGTCTATAAACTAACCTTTTTTATTAAAATCATCCCACTCCACTTAAAATAATTAAGTAACACTCAGAACATTCACCAATTAAAATGTAATGCAAATCAGTCAGAATGATCAAGAGTTATGATCGGACATACAAACAGACACAAAAACAGAGATTAAACTACTTTATGGGTAACTAGTTTGAGAACTCAGCGTTGCCCAGGATACTCATAATTACTCCCGCCGTTTCCCCGCACTTGGTCATACATTACCACTTTAGCTGTTTTTCGCTATAAAAGTGGACCCACTCAACTTAGAATCTCATTTCCTTGGTTCTCACGAGTTTCCAAATCAAAATTTGAGACCAATTTGTCGAGGGGTCCATGAGTTATGATTAAACAAACAAACAAACAAACAGAGATTTAACTACTTTACAGATGATAAAGAAATAATATTAATAGATTCCTAACCTGTAAAATGACTGAACCATTACCAAGCTTCCAGGCTATGCATGCATCATGAGATAATGATGTAAATGCATTTGCATCATAGGGGCACAGTTTACCATCAGTATTGGCACACTGGTAGCACGTTAACCCGTCAGCAAACCGGTTTTGTAGAAGTAAACAAACAAAAACTAAGAAATGCCATGTAGAATTTTAAGAAATAAAATTCACGTCAAAAAAATGAAATTTGAACCAAAGAAACTGAGCTCCTGCCACAAACTCTAATTTTCGAATCCCATTATCTTTGCAACCTTTAGTAATTAAAAATTGACTAAACAGAATTCCTAGTTTGAAATACCAGAGGTCCTCGACATCTGGTTGCAAAGATATAGGGATAAAAATCCGAGTATTTGGCAAGAACTCAGTTCCTTTGTAAATTTAGACTGTCTAGAAGAAGAAATGATTTCAGTATAATTTTCCTGCACTTTATTCGTTCAAGCTCATTAGAAACTGCACTTTAGCATTTCAGTAATTATGGTGATATTTTGAGAAACAAATATGACGTATAAATCTAAGCTAAATTAATTTCTTACAAATTGTGTGTGATTTAAACATACGTATAAAAATTTAAAAATCATAAAAATCTATCTTGAAATGAGATAATTTTTAAGTGTTGGAATCCATCATCATTAATAAAAGTTTAGCGATGCTTTACTCGAAAGTAAATTTCAATAGAGAATGTGAAAAAATTAACTGAAAATCTTATTTCAATTATCACCTGTTGAATAACGAAACAATATATCTCACCACTTCACAATGAAAGGTTAAAAGAGACAGTAATTTTAAATTAATTTATATAGTTGGAAAAACAACAATATCTTCCTTTTTGTTAACTTGGTAACTAGCTGAAGGGTTACGCAATAAATTGAGGATTACTTGAAATGGGAAAGACAGTTCCTTTAAAGGTAATTGTTCCGAATTCGTGATTATACTGTTTTAACTTTAATTTCCAAACTGCTAAGAAAGAAATAAAACGTCATTGCAAAAATGTTATTGCTGAAGGTTCATAAACTTGTTTACTTGGAAATAAATTCAATTTAATTTAATAATAAGACAATTGAGACAAGGATGATCTTACGGATAATCCTCCTTTCAATTTTCTTTATCGTCTTAAAGAACATCTTTAATCAAAAAATTGTCTAATCGAGTTGATTCTAGAGAAATATAGTTGCTAAACATGAAATGGTAGTATAGTGATTATGTGGGATTTATAATAATAAAGTTTTTTGGAGCAAAAAACCTTGATTTTTTATCTTGATTTTAAATTTAACTGGTAGATTCTTCCCTGGAAGATATTTTAGATTCATCCTGATCTCTGCTCTTCAGAACCTTTCAATGTGCTAATTAAGTTTCACTTTCATTACGTCTATTTCTGGTAGATCCTGCACTTGACCAGATAACACTGAACCCCGCGGGACTACAGGGACAAACACTCTTAAACACTTTCACTCAGTAATCTCACTTTCTCGGAACCCTCGCCTCGCATCTTCCGTGAGATTTATGATCTTGACGCGCTTCTTTGCTCAAGGTACCTCTAGGATACCGGACGGGTTCTCTCCGCTGCTCTTTAGTCCAGATACCCTCGGATATTAGGGCGCGGGTTTTCTCCGCTACTTGTTGGGAACTGATCAACCGTTGCCCAGTAGATACTTTCTCATTGATCCTGCATTTTTCCCAATGATAACGAAAAGAATAGCACGGCTTAACACGCCATTTTGGATAATATTAAAGAAATTACTGATATCAAAAATAAAATCATACCAAAAAACACATCATAATGGTTTTCAAAATAACCAAAAGATTAAAAAAATAAACTTATAATTTATTCAAATTGTAATAAAAGACGGATAATTGCAAAATAATCTATGGGTTTCCATCAGTTTAAGTTTTTTTTGTAACATATTTATAAAAATAAAATTCATTCTTTAAAAACAGATCTATTCTAAATCTACAGATCAATCTGGAGACACGCATATTTTTACTTTTTAACAGCATGAATTATGGTAAAATGTCGTAAAATTATCATATATATATATTGTTTGGTTTACAGCCGATTCGGGGCATTTCTGAAAAAAAAATTTCCTTAATAATGAGATAAATATTATTTTCAATACATGTACGTTACATTTTCCACTAATAAAAAAAATAAATAGCAAACTTCTTGAAATTTATTTTACAGTGAACATTACATACAAAATGTTTTTAGAGTTAAAAATTAGAATGTATACATAACAGATACAAAAAGCAATTTAAAATCAATGTATATGAAACAAGTGAAAAATGTGATGTCACAAACCTTTTTGTGTTCGGAACGTAAATTAAAAGGAATTTCCTTCTTTTACCTAAAATTTTTTATTATTAGAGAATCTTTGGTTTTAATCATGACCTCTGATCATTTCAAATATTAACCATATCCACGATATCCTCTAAATCCTCCAACTCCACGCTATTGATAATATCCTCCAAATCCTCCAGCTGCTGCCAAGGTTGGAAGTTCTCCAGGTAGGGTTGTACGACCAGGAGTAGGGTTACACAGATATGAGAAGGAACAAGGAGAAGATAACACCGTGATATCTCATACATATCCCTCGAGACAACAGCATATCCCTTTAATACAAATTAATTTACAGTGGTCACCAAACAAATGTGGATTATAATAAAGATTTTAATTGAAAAAGGTCTTAAATTCAAATAGTTCAAAAAAAGTTGTTCAATCTCTTTTTTATCTTGCTAAAGTAACATATATTTAAGAATTATAAATTTTGCAGATTTTAAATTTGGCATCCCAAGAAATTGGGTCTTGGCCAAAAATTTTATTATCACGTTATCTCTGAAACCTAATATTGTGGACCTTGGATTTTTGAATTCTGTTTAATCAAATATTTTTTGTTTGAAGTATCAAAGGTTTACACCATCAGGTTGCAAACATATAGAGATTAGAAGTGAATAATTGAGTTTGTGACAGACTCAATTATTTGTGTACAATAACAATAACAAAATTCAACCTTAAATAATTTTGATTTCCAAAACAAATCTTCTGAACTGTTTCTGTAGGATGAGAGCAAAACTATCTAGAAAAATACTAAAATAAGGATGTTCCAGAGCCTTATATTGGAAAAGAAATATAGAAAAATATTAAAAAATCAGGATGTTCAAGAGCCCTTGTATACAAATAGAAAGATTGAAACAATGTGTGTCAATGATTTTCCAGAGCCCTTTAATACAACTAGAAAGATTGGAAGGAGAACTAATGAGAAATATAAAAAGATTCTTGACAAAGATAAATTAATAAATCTGTGGTTCCAAAGGTCTTAAATGTAAAGAAACTAAAATATAAGAGATTAGATTCGTAGAATAAATCTAAATCAAACCTTCTCCATGCATAGGAGACACCAAGATATTATAACTCCAGTAGTAAATCTCAAGGAGGGATTAGTGAACCACGTTGAGGTCTCCAGAACCAGGATACAGATATCCTAAACCATTTACCAGAATACAGTTATATCTTAAACCATATAAAAAGATACAGATATCCTAAACCAAATACCAAGATACAGATATCCTAAACCGTATACCAAGATACAGATATATCCTAAGCCATATACCAAGACACAATTATCCTAAATCATATATCAATATACAGATATCCTAAACCATAAACCAAGATACAGATATCCTAAACAATAAACCAGGATACAGATATCCTAAACCATATACCAAGATAAAAATGTATCCTAAACAATATACCAGGATACAGATATATATCCTAAACCATATACCAAGATTCAGATATCCTAAACCATACAAGATATAGATATCCTAAACCATATACCAAGATACAGATGTATCCTATCCCATATACAAAGATACAGATGTATCCTAAAAAATATAACAGGATACAGATATCCTAAACCATATACCAGAATACAGATATCCTAACCAATATTCCAGGATATTGATATATCCTAAACCATATACCAGGATACAGATATCCTAACCAATATTCCAGGATATTGATATATCCTAAACCATATACCAGGATACAGATATCCTAACCAATATTCCAGGATATTGATATATCCTAAACCATATACCAGGATACAGATATCCTGAACCATATACCAAGATACAGATATCCTGAACTATATACCAGGATACAGATATGTCCTAAACCATATACCGGGATACAGATATCCTAAACCATATACCAAGATACAGATATCCTAAACCATATACCAAGATACAGATATCCTGATATCCTAAGCCATCTACCAGAATACAGATATTCTAAACCATTTACCAGGATACAGATATCCTCATCCATATACCTGGATACAGATATCCTGAACAATATACCAGGATACAGATATCCTTAACAATATACCAGGATAAAGATATCCTAAACCATATACCAGGATACAGATATACTTAACAATATACCAGGATAAAGATATCCTAAACCATATACCACGATACAGATATCCTAGACAATATACCGGGATACAGGTATCCTAAACCATATTCCAGGATACAGATATCCTGAACACTCAACCATGATACAGATATCCTAAACCGTATACCAAGATACAGATATCATATACCATACACCAAGATACAGATATCTTAAACCATATACCAGAATAAAGATGTATCCTAAACCATATAACAGGATACAGATATCCTAAACCATACAACAGGAAACACATATCCTAAATCATATACCAGGACACAGATATCTTAAACCATATGCCATGATACAGATATCCTAAACCATATAACAGAATACAAATATACTAAACCATATACCATGATACAGATATCCTAAACCATATACCAGGATACAGGTATCCTAAACCATATACCAGCATACAGATATCCTAAACAATATACCATGATTCAGATATCCTAAACCGTATACCAAGATACAGATATCCTAAAACATATGCCAGGATACAGATATCCTAAACCATATGCCAGATTACAGATATCCTATACCATATGCCAGATTACAGATAAACTAAACCATATGCCAGATTACAGATATCCTAAACCATATGCCAAATTACAGATGTCCTAAACCATATACCAGATTACAGATATCCTATACCATATGCCAAATTACAGATATCCTAAACCATATACCAGATTACAGATATCCTAAACTAAACCGACTTCTGCTTACTGCTGCATTAAATTAAGATTTTAGTAAATAACATGTATTTTGTAATAAAAGGATATTTTGTAATAAAAGGATATTTTGTAATTCCTCTCCGTTGTGCAGAAAGTAGAAAAAAATCTATGGAAATCCCAGGATGTGAAGGTCCTGTGGGATTTAAACTTATCTTGGTTTGCTTTGATTATGGTACAGGGTGTCCCTACTAATATGGTTTCATAGAGACGACATTGAAGTGATTAATTCAGGATCAAATCAAAAATCACAACCGGCAGCTATTTTGATCAAGGAAAATTAAAGGAAATTATTCAATTCAAATGTTTATTGGGAGACCCTATATACTATTGTAGTTTCATGATTAGCTTGTAATAAATACTTCTTAAATTAAAAACGACTTTTAATAACTTCCCAGACAATTTCCTTATCCATACTTACAATAGTATCTGGAAGAAAATAAAGTTTAAGAGTTAATTCAGGATTCCAGCCTTGCTCCTGTGGATCCAGGTCCAGCAGTAACCTAGAGAGGATTTATTTCTCCGGACATGACTCTCAGTTTGTAGAAAATCTTTGTTCAAATCTTACTCTCTCCTTCCCTCTATCTATTTCATCTTCATCATAAAATACACTTTCTTTTTTAATTGAAACTTGTTGATCCAGGACTACTTTACTCTGGATACCGCCGCTATCATCATAGATAATATCTTTACTGCGTCCTCTGGCACAACTACTCTTCATCCTTACTATTATACAACTCTCGACACTAACCATCCATCTTGTGACACAAACCGTTCACCTCCTGCTTTATTTAAAGGATTTTTTCTAGTTAAAGGGACCGTTCACTTATTTGGGCAGTATGAGGGTAAACTAAATAGCCTTATAGCTATTCATTGCCATGGTATTATAGTCATACTTTTCAAAGACAACTGTGGTCTGAGAAAAAACCGATTTATCATTCAGAATTTCAGTATACCTTTGCCTACACTATTTGATGCTTCATGACAATGTCATGGATTAAAAAAAAAAATCAAATATTAAATCAAATTTTATGTATCTAAAAATTGTAGATATCTTTTATTTTTTTTTAATAATTTAAAATTGGCTATTTTCAAATTATAACTTATTCGAAACATTTGATAGGTTTTCCCTACTTCCCCGGAAATCCCCGTGATTTATTGAAGAGTTGGGAATCTAGGAACCGGTGTGTCGGAGAGACAGTCATCTTTGTATAAGCATGTTAATTTGATAAATTGTATTTTAACACGAAACATGTTAATTTCTTGCTATTTCTAGGATTAAAAGTTTTCATATTTATTATATAATGGCTGACACATGATGTCATTGAAATATGATAATTTTAGATTTTATTGGGCTTTTGTTACTGAAAAAACGTTTAAATAGTTTCTATGGAAAAGTAGCATACGTTTCCGCTGGAATTCTAAACGATAAATAGGCCTGTTCTCCGGTCATAGATATTTTTGAAAAGTAAGACTAATACCATTGAATAGCCATGATGGTTGTAGTTTAAAGATGACAAATTTAGATGTTTTCACATTTAGAAAAATAGAAAATTATTTTCTCATTTTTGTAGTTTTTCTCGATAAAAACTGGTTTAATTTTCTTATATGTTTACTAAATTGGCAGGTTATAAGAGTTATAAACCTTGTCCAATTTCGCTTTTTAGAGAACCTATCTAATGGAGTTCAACTCAACTTCTCTACTCATTTCTAATGCTAACCGTCCTTTGCTACACAACTCCTCCACTTCGTTCTATGCTACACAACTCCTCATCTCCGTCCTATGCTACACAAATCCTCTAATCCGTCCTATGCTACACAACTCCTCATCTCCGTCCTATGCTACACAACTCCTCATCTCCGTCCTATGCTACACAAATCCTCTAATCCGTTCTATGCTACACAAAACCTCTTCTCCTTCCTATGCTACACAACTCCTCATCTCCGTCCTATGCTACAAAAATCCTCTAATCCGTTCTATGCTACACAAAACCTCTTCTCCTTCCTATGCTACACAACTACTCATCTCCGTCCTATGCTACACAAATCCTCTAATCCGTTCTATGCTACACAAATCCTCTACTCCGTTCTATGCTACACAACTCCTCATCTCCGTCCTATGCTACACAACTCCTTTACTCCGTCCTATGCTACACAAATCCTCTAATCCGTTCTATGCTACACAAATCCTCTACTCCGTTCTATGCTACACAACTCCTCCACTTCGTTCTATGCTACACAACTCCTCTACGCCGTACTATAATACATAACTATTTTTCACCGTCCTATTCTACACAACTCCTCATCTTCGTCCTTTGCTACACAACTCCTTATCTCCGTCCTATGCTACACAACTACTTTTCTCCGTCCTATTCTACACAACTCCTCATCTCCGTCCTTTGCTACACAACTCCTTATCTCCGTCCTATGCTACACCACTCTTTATCTCCGTCCTATGCTACACCCTCTTCATCTCCGTCCTATGCTACACAACTCTTCTTCTCCGTCCAATGATACCCAACTCTTCATCTCCGTCATTTGCTACACAACTCCTAATCTCCGTCCTATGCTACACAACTCCTCATCTACGTTCAATGCTACACAACTACTCTTTTCCGTCCTATGATACACAACTCCTCCTCTCAGTTCTATGCTACACAAATCATTTACTCCAGCCTATGCTACATAAGTCCCCTTTTCGGTCAAATGCTACACAACTCCTTTTCTCCGTCCTAAGAAACCCAACTATTCTCCTCCGTCGTATGCTAAATAAATCATCCAAAACTCCTCTCCTTATACAACTTCTCTAAATTCTGAAGAAATACCGTCCCAATCCCTCGTTAAACAACTATAAACACCTTTTTACTCTTGCAAGATCATGACATTTAAGAATTATACATCCAACACACAAAACTAATTTTATGATTAGTAAGTAAAAAAACATTTTATCTGAAAAAAAACGGAATCTAATTTTATAATATCACTACTTTTATAGTAATGAGGACACGGAAATATAAAAAGTGTAAACTTCAAAGGGAAGGTTCTCGATTTACAAGGGTACCCTTAAAACCTTAATCTAATCAATAATGTGGAAGGAAACATATTGTCTTTTTAGTTTGAAAAGAATTTAGTTCTAATATTTTCTCCATTATTTATAAAGCAAGAAATGTTCAAGTCACTTTTTTGAAAACATGAATATCAAATTTCTACATGAGCAGACCAAGCTTTCATGCCAATGATAAAGGAAGGGTCACTTAATTTTGCATTTCTAATCCCGTTGATTAAAAGATATAAATTTATCAAACGCGCAAATAGGCAATAAACATGGGATAACATAATCTTAGGACTCCCTAAATCGAAATGGTTTCACTTACCCTTTGCTGAAAAATAAAATTAGATCTTGCGACGCGCGATAAAAAGAAGAAACCTCAAATGTATTGCGCTTTGGCCAACATATAATAACAATTTTTCAGGAGTTTCCCGTGCCATTTAAAAAATCACATTTACGGGGAAAAAAAACGATTTTTATGTTTTGAAACAATTTTTGAGGGACTCGCCAATCGTATTATATAAGCTAGGCCAATAACATACATTTTTTAAAATGATTTTATTTGACCTTTACATAATTTTATAAACATATATATTCTTAAACATATTTCTAAAATTAATATTTTTATCAAATATATATTAACACCACTACAAAAGTTTATATTCTCTAGATACATAAATTGTATTTTTTTTCTAAAACTCAATATTTTTAAACCCCTTTTACAAAAATGAATTGTAATATACATGGTTACCCATAAAGGATTAGGCTTTAATGACGACCTTAAACTCTATTTATCTAGCTATCTAAAGGTTAAATTAGGTTTTTTCTTAGACTTTTACTTGTATATTAGATGATTTGGCATAAAAAGAAACAAGGCTATAGCTGCAGAGGACCTTGAATGTATAAGAAAGGCTAAATAAATTCTGTACAGTCGTCTCTGAAGTCGCACCCTCGTTGGATAACCCTGTATAGATGTACACAGTACATATATATTTGGAAGCATTAGAAGAATTGCTAACTAAACTTTTGCCGCTTTTTGACGGCATTCTTTAAAAAAAACGTAGGTTAAATATAAAAAGATAAAAACAAAAAGAATATACGGAGTTACCCACAAAAAATGAGACGGTAAAGACGACTAAAAACTCAACAAATACAACGATTTTAAGTTAAAAACAAATCAACTTTAAATAGTTTATTTAATGATTTGACATAGAAAGAAATAAGTTTATAGTTGCGGGGATTCATAAATTTAAGGAACTAGAGAGTATGAACTTCAACCGTCTCTGAAGTATCATCCTTTGTGGGGAACCCTGTATTATTATATTATATTATTGAAAGGCAATCTATTGGACTTGATGTCTTCTAGGGTTATTGCTTTAGCAGACTGTGTAGAGAGCTAGATTGAAAGACACGTCTTAGCTTTGGCTCAGAGATGAGAAAGTAATCCTGTATCGGGAGCTGATTTCATTACTATCTTCTGTAATCCTTTAAATTTAGGATGGGAAGAATCAGCGGCAAATCCCAGAATCACGCACTCGCTCGTGGTCAAAAACGCTCCGACATCGCGCAATCTTGACAACGCAAACCTGCCAATAAAAAATAAATTAGATAAGAAAGATATTTCTCCAACGCAACTAATGGATAAATAATGTTTTCATTTTTTTGAAAAAACATTCCCGAAAACACTCCCTTAATAACATTATTTATATTGTATAAGCTTGCTGTAATAAATTTGCTAAAATATGGTATATATGTTCGGTATTCAGCTCATATTCAGCATTTAATGTAAAATCATTTTCATAAATTGAATATTTTGCATTTTGTCTAAAATAATAATTTTCAGCTTGATCACTTTGTTTACGGGGGAGGGGGGGGGGGGAGAAATTTGGCAGAGTGGGATTCCTTGTAGTGAGCAATGGCCCCGTAAAATTCAAAAACAGAGAGAGGGGGATTGAATTTTGTAGAAAAATAATATCTGTGGGATGCCTGCGTAGAGACTGGCAGCTTGTGGGGTCTTAAATGTAAGACATGTGGCCGCAGTGCTCGGCCCAGATAAGTGTCTTAACCTAACCTAACCCTAAATAAATACTAATTTAATTATTTTACTGGATCTACAAAATTCAGTCCCCCTCTCTCTGTTTTGGAATTTTACGGGACATTGCACACAAAAGGAATCCCACTCTAACAAGAAATTTTAGGCCTTTCCTATAGCTGTGACCTAGTATTAGTTACCAAAAAAAAAATATTTCCAGACTCATAAAACCGGGTTTAATCTGGAATAGGAAGACGGCTTTAACACTCAATTTATGATTTTAAATAGTCTAGTGAACATGAGACACAGCAATAGTTCAGTCAAACAAACTCATTAAATTATTATTTTAATGTCGTCCTCCAATTCCAGTTTTCTGGTTCTCACTGTTTTTTAAAATGTCACCTTCTGTCAGTTTCTGTCCTGGAACTTGCACAGTCGACAGGAATATGAACCTAAACAATTCAATTAACAAACAAGATCACATATAGGCTATCAACAAAAAAAGAATATTTGAAAATATATGCTTTTAATGTTAAAAGAAAAGTTGATATAAAATCTGCATATAAAGAAACAATATAAAATCAAAATATATGATTTTAAGTATGAACTATGAAGTTTTTTCAATAATAACAATGTTTTAGTTACTTAAAGAAATACATTCATGTCCGCCTCTTGCTCTAATAACAATTTGTCAACCTTGAAGTGATTATACTGCCCATTCTTTAAGCTGCTCCGTCGGCGACGACGGCGCGTTGATGTCGCTTATTAAGGAAACTGTGCTTTTTGAGCTAAGTGTTTTCTTGATCTAAGGTTTTTTTTGACCTAAAATTGTATTAGATCTTCAAAGATAGGTTAGGTTGAACTGGCTCGAAGGAGATCGATCGGGATAAGACGTAGCTATAATTGAGATTTTAAACTAATCGATATTTTCTAACTACTCGATAAATATTTATGTCGGATTCCCTCTAGTACGGTTTCCCATAGGTCAGTTTCCATAGCATCGCCTAGCAGCTTCTTACCTCGAACCCTGCCTCTAGAAGGTCCAGGGTTGTATGGTGAATACAGGCGTGGGTTTCAATCCCACACAGTACAATAGATTTAGTTTCCGGCTGTACTTCTCTCAGTGCGGCCATGAGATCCGGCACGCACATCGTAAAACAGGTTTTGGGGTAGGGGGTGATACCGAACTTTGCTAGTTCTATTTCTGGTACAGTTGGGCCTAAACCCTGAACACAATATCATGTTTATTATATCAACAGATATTTTGGTATGTAGGTATGTATGGTTGGCAGGTAGGTATGTAGATAGGTAGAGAGTAGGTAGGTAGGTAAGTAGGTAGGTAGGTAGGTAAGTAGGTAGGTAGGTAGGTAGGTAGGTAGGTAGGTAGGTAGGTAGTAGGTAGATAGGTAGGTAGGTAGGTAGGTAGGTAGGTAGGTAGGTAGGTAGGTAGGTAGGTAGGTAGGTAGGTAGGTAGGTAGGTCAGTAAGGTTATGCCAAGGTACATAGGTGAGTAGTTAGGTAAGTAGCTAGGGTAGGGTGGTACACTTGAGTAGGTAAGTAGCTAGGGTAGGGTGGTACACTTGAGTAGGTAGGTAGTTAGGAAGGTGACAGATCCGTATAGGTAATGGGCAAGGTAGATAGGTAGGTAGGTAGGTAGGTAATGGATAATAAAAAAGTAAAAACTTTATAGGTAAGTAAATAGGAGCTAGGTAGGTAGTTGGTAAACATATAGGTAGATAGTTATTAAGGACGAAAAGTATCTTGTACGGCGCTGTTATACCTTAGGATACTGCTCGGTAGCAAATACAGGGATATCCATTATTCTAGCTGCGTTCAACACTCGGTTACTGTTCTGTACGATCTGATCGAAGTGGGAGATCATTGGTCGGAACTTATCCTGAGATTAACAGATTCTATGAGATCAAAAGATTGCTCTGACATTTAAAAAGATAACCGACTGGCATATGGCAGGAAGAAAAGAAATAAAAATACGTTTTATTCTGAAATTAGGGACCAAAAGTTGTGCCGATTTAGGCAGCTGGCAGGGGTGTATTTTTTCCTGACATTTTTTTCCCCTAGCAGTAGTTTATGTTTGGGAGGAGTTTTATTTGCTGATTGGGGAAAATAAATGATATTTAACTTTTACGGGAACATAACAAAATTCTTAGATAAAAAGTATTTAAAGGATGGCCTTAATATGTCCTAAAAACAACAGTTTTTAAAATATATAATGAAACAAAGTGCTAAAACCAGAAAACCTGCATATCACACAGGAACACTGCGCTTGTTTTAGGATTAATCCTACCCAAAGAACGAACTGCATGAGCCATCTTTCTCTGAAAAAAACATCGTTCTGAAGCTATCAAAGAAAAGTTCAGCAATTTCCAATACAATTTTTTTTTAACGAGCTAGGATAAAACACCATATCTCTGTATACACAACTGAAGTCTGATAAAAATAGAATATTTTAAAGATAAAACTTGATCTTAGACAAACCCGCTAGACAGGAAAGTGTTCACTTTGAACTTTGATAAATGAAATACAGAACTCCTTACATTAGGTTAAAAACATTAAACGTCTGATCTGAAAATATATTTATATTTTTTTTATTTGGGGGGGGGGGGATGGCAACAAATAATTAAAATTATTTCGTTATTTTTTTATCACTGATTTTATTTTGAGGGAAAATTGAACAAAAATCGATTTCTTATTAAATGTTTTATGGACCTCTTTGAAAAATAACAGCCTTAATCTATTTATCTATTAATCCTAGCCTAACCTGAAGGGGGTTGTCCTTTTTCAGAAAGAGGACGGGTCTAAATAAAAAAATTAAGAAAAATGTAAACGCAATCTTTATCTTTTGTTACTATTGAATTTAAACTTTAGAAATATATGTAAATACAAATTAGGTAAAATATATCAATAAGATTATAAATGCATCAAAATAAAAGTTGCCCATTGAATTTTTAATTTACATACTTCTCGGAAAGGTACTGAAATTAAGTCCACAATCAACATATTTATCTCTGGCTTCCAAGTATAATTTCTTCATAATATAGTACATATTAATCATATTAAAATTTGCCTTGTACTTAAAATGTATTATGTAACCATAGGACAATGAACCTATCTTTAAAATCATACTTTTGCTGGTCAATATAATTAGACGCAACTTCGCAAGGTATAATTGGTTATTCAATTGGATAGATTATACATTCCAAAGAATGTATAGAAAATTTCTTCTGGATACATTTTTTGTAACACATGAAGACAGTTAAAGAACTAGTTTAAAGTCGAGAACAAAAATTTCTTAGCACTCAACAAATAATACTTCAAAATAATAACAAACGCTTCATTTTTTAATTTTTATTGCCGTTTTTCGTATACTTATTTAGAATCTTTGAAAATAAAAAGTTTACTTAGTCCCTGCTGAAAAGTTTATGTACAATTTACACCGTCAAGTCAGTACATGCACTGTACAATGTTTACTACTCATGTACTCTGAACTATGTACAAACAAATTATTAGTTTTAATACAATGAGCACAATTGGTCTAATTTTCGTTTATTTCCGCATATATATATAATTACACAAAACAATAATTATGAATCACAAATAAAGAAGTGTATCAGCAGTGTACGACATGAGACAAAATAAGTCATTATGTTAATTTATCATTTAGTGTGAGAACGTCAAAGCAATCAGACAGGAAGAAACATCAAAATTTTCAAACAGAGAAAATAATAATTAGTTAGCTGATCAAATCAAAACAATATTTAATATCACCACTTTTTAGGTGTTAGTAGTTTACAGTCTTTCTTGAAAATTATTCTATTTTCTACAAATTCTCCGGTATTTAAATGGGATATAGAGCTTGGAGGAACCTTTATTTTGTACAAAAAAAAAACAGGAAAAGAATTTGTCAATAAACTGATCTAAAAAAACTAAAATGTATAAAATAAATCAACAATTAAATGAAGGTTAATAATAAGAGATTATATAAAAAACTCTCTCTAAAGCTGCAAATATATCTAGACAAAAAAAAGCAAATAAACTTAGGAAAACGGGTTTAAATAATTTTCATTAAAAAAAACAAATGGAAAAACTTTATAAATTGTAAAATTTAAAGAAGAAGTTAAAAAATTGAAGAAAATCTGTCCTTCAAAAAGGCGCAATTAAAATCTAGAAAGTTAAGGAGAAAGCTGTAAGGAGAAATTTATAATTACTAGCTTTTCACTGGCAATGTGCATAAAAGGCTGGATTTAAACAGAATTTTTGTTATGGAAAATTGGATGTTTTATCGGCAAGGGGCCAAAAATTAAGAATTTTGTGTCGAAATGATGGGCAGTGCTTGGTTAGCTTCAGGAGGATATATAAAAAGTGTCAAAATGAAGGATAAAAGAGGGGATGGGTCATAAAGAGTCCCAAGGGAGGGGAGGGGAGAGCCTGGCTCTAGAAGGTTCCCTTGATTACGAGTTGGAGGATCCGGTATATTTAAATAGAGGTGGAGGATCCGGTATATTGAAATAGAGGCGGAGGATCCGGTATATTGAAAAAGAGGTGGAGGATCCGGTTTATTGAAATAGAGGTGGAGGATCCGGTATATTGAAATAATCCAGTAAATATAAAATTTCTACTCAGTGAATAAGTTCTGTATCCGCAAAAGCGCAAGCTCCGAGCTCCTAAATAAACAAAATTAAATCTTATTCAAAGCTGTTTAGTATGCAGTTTGTAAAAATCGTACATTTTGTTTAACTAAAGAACTTCTCACCAATATCAAAGTTTTATTCTCTTTAAAGAGGAGTTTATAGGAAAAAATTTATTAATCAATGAAATCAAGCCAAAGCAAACAGTCAAATTATTTACAGGAGTTTATATTCTGAAGAATTATCAGTATCTGGGGGGAAAAAAGGAAAATTTGACATTAAATTTTTCATTTATTGTTCATACTTTTCACCCAAAATATTATCTATTTTCCCCAAAAAATCCGTTGTTTGTCCCAATTCAGTGAATAAAACCCGGGGTAAAAAATGATTCTCAAAAAAGGGGTGGGAATGATTATTCTAGAAAATGTACACCCCTGGACATCTATGAAGCAAAAACTTTCAGGTAGTTGAACATGTGCGCCATGCGGGAATTAACACTGCTTGCCTTGTTTGCCATCAGCTTTAAGAGATGTCTTGAGTGTGCTACAGATATCTCCAGAGGAGGTCTACCGGGCAGATTCTTAGATTCTTAACAAAAATATTTTTTAAAGGGACTGTAGGCGTAATTTCTTGCGAGTCTCTTTTTATAGATTTACCTTCGGTACTCCATTTTAATCTATTTAAAATCTGAAAATTAATCTTTAATCTGCATTTATGCAGAAGGGAAAAAGGAAATTTCTAAAGAAAAAAGGACTTCTTTTTCTAAGAAAATGTTATAGTGTACCGTTGCAAATAAGACATGCCACGCAATTGAAATTATTTCATCAGTTTTATGTTTTTAAAATTGGAAAAAGAATCAGAGAAATCTAAGAAATAAACTCGTAAAAGAGCATTTATTAAACAATGATCGGATACTAACGATGATGAGGATATTTAAGCTGAAAACTTAAGTTATTCGAAGATAGTTATTGAAGAAAAATACTTAAATAAAATAAAAAATGATCTACATAAATATTTCATAAATAAATAAATACATAAATAAAAGATCAACCATCTTTGCGTGGAAATCCAGGCTGAGACCCAATCGAAAATAACCTCCAAAAACGGAAATTAATATAACAGTTGATTATAATGGATATATTGGATTCTACTCTACACGAACTATTCAATTATTACACAAAATTGCCCTTTAATCCTTTCTATGAACAGGAAAGATCGTGATATCCTTATCTTCTTATTTCAAAATTTGCTATTTTCTTTAAAAATTAAGGGCTCCGTTGTGAATCCGACATGCCAATTCATAAATGGAAGGTTTCTTAAAATTACATCTGCTACCCCTTTAACTGACCTAAAATGGCTGAATTGAGAGCATGACAAACCGGTTCTCTGCCGGACACACTGAGCTGGGCGGAGACAGGACTATCCCAAGGATCAGAATATGCTAGAAGAGAGAATGCTTCGTGTAGTAGCACCATGTTATCCGGTTCAATCTAGTTATTATAAACATTTTAAAAATTACACTCTTCTATATAATAAAACAATGCATTCATATATTTATGTTGCGTATTTATTGTTGGTGGACACTCATGGGTGGCCGAGGGGTGTTTTAGGCTAAAAAAATTGATTTTTTTTCAACATTTTTTTTTCCGAGCAACGCAGGGTCCTTCACCTAGTCTTCTACATAATAAAACAAGACATTCATATATGTTGCGTATAGCGGGCCAAACGGCTAAACCAATTGGGCTGATATTTTTTTGTGGGCATTCATGGGTAGCCTGGGGTGTTTTAGGCTAAAAAAAAAGTAATGATCGTGAAAGATCCCAAAAGTGGAATCCACAAACCGCCGTACATAAAAAATGTTCAACCAGAGATGAGATTCTAAAAGCTTAATCCCAAGTGAAACCCAGACTTGGATTCAGATAGAACCCAAGTCAGGATTGGCTCTGATTTGACCAATTCAGGACTGCTTAGAAAGCTTTCTCTCTGTAGCAGACAGATTGCCGACAGATCCACTATGACAAGGAGATGTTTATTCCGAAAATTCGAACTTTATGTAGATACATTATTTTTTTAATATGATTATTTCATACCTTTGATCAAATTTGACACTATAAATAATTTCCGAGATTTTAAATGTACAAATATAAAAGTTTTTTCGAAATTACGATCATCAGCTGCTGAAGACTCGAGTCTTAAAGAGAGAAAAACACAAGGTGGTTGTTTTTTACTAAACTCAAGGCCATCCAAAACCCCGGTCTTGACTTGAGTTTCAGACGCACAGACCGGGTTTTACTCGGGTTTAAGCTTTTAAAATCTCATCTCAGTTACTAAATTTAAATCATTTTTATTCAACATAATACTGCGTAAACTTTAAGTGGGGGGAATTTGACACTTTCGAACGAAATTTTTAATAATACCTTTCCTTGGAAAATACAATATTCCGTCCCGGCAGTTGCAAAATGAATTCTAGTCTTAGATATTTCCTTTTTTTTTCAAAAGAATTTTTTCTTCTTGCATACGAGTCTTTATCAATCAACATTTTTTTACAGCAGACGGAATTTAATAAAGCTAAAAAGAATTCAGAATATTTCATACCGATTTGACGTCAGATGAAGGGGGGGGGGGGGGCAGGGGTCCATATAATTTCATTACTGATAAAATACACTTTTTGTGCACGTGTACTACACTTTAGAAATGTGTACTTCATTTGGGGTGTTAAAAGATGTAAATTTATCAGTTATCGAAATAAACACTCCCTTGCAGTACACATTCTGCAGAATGGATTTTTTTCTGTACCTTCACATGATTTTTTCAATTATTTACAACAACAACATGGTTAATTTCTGCCCCTAATATCAATCAATCAACATTTGTGATTGTTTTGTATGGAATTTGATGAACCACTGGGGAGGGGGCGTGGTACCTGTTGAGCTAGTTCCTGCAAACTTCTACCAAACTTAATGATAGACTCCAGTTTCCCCGGGTTGGAAAGAAGAGATCCAGGTTTAGAATCCTCCTCCTCCTCCTCTTCCTTGATTTTAACATCTACATCCATAGAATCCATACCTTCACCATTCTCACAGTTTCCATTACTACAATAAACATTTAGAGAAATCATGTATGTATAAAAATAAAGTAAATTTAAAACAGAACAGTTCGATGCGAATTTCATGAATCCTAGTGTAGTGTAGTTATCCGAGCTGACCGGACGTGTCTTTGTGAGCTCCCGGATTAAACTGACCGACAACCCAACACCGGGTTAACTTATTCANTTATTTTAGCAATAAACGTTATCTTATCTTATCTTATCTTATATACATTTTTTTCCTCGCAAAAACTTCTTTTTAAAATTTAATTGCCAAAAGAATATTTAGTTTGTGTTACAGAATAATACTCCACCGACCATTTTTTTTCTAAATCAATTAGATAAGATAAGATATAGTTTATTCATTATTGCTAAAAATACAAATACAAGTTATAATGTTGCAGGCAAAATCTGCAACTATTTTTCTATTATTTACTATATGTATTCAAAAATACTGTATGATCCAAAAATAAATTTGTTGCGAATTTGGATTTTGCTTGTGTACAATAACCCTGTGTTTACGCTTTTAGATTTAAATATACAAAAAAATATTATTTTTAATTGAGCGGGATCTTTCGGGAAATAAACACCAGAATTATATTTCAAATTAAATTGTAATTCTCACCCAAGGTTGTATAATAAGGTTGCTTACTCTCACTCTCCATGCACTCCAATGTTGGGAAAATGTCGTCTTATAAGATAGATAGAAGACGACATTTTCCCTACATATTGGCGTGCATGGAGAGTAAGCAATCTTATTACAACCATGATCTCACCTGACACTAATATTATTGCCGTTTATCTGTGAGGAGTTATCACAGGGTTCAGTTTTCACATCCATCCCAGCTCCGCTCTCCCCTTGGCTCACAGTATCATATTCCAGGCTATCAGCTCCAGAGATGATTTCAATAAATTGTCGAATCTGAATATAAATAAAATAGAATTGAGATCTAACCTATTTCACCACCCCCAAGACCAACTGGAATATGTAAGGATATAAAATAAAATGGTCTAGAACCCCCCCCCCCACACGTTTTAAAGTAAACTTCCTCCGCTCGGTTTAAGACGGAGTATCAAAAAGGTTCCATATTAACTTTACTCCCCACCCGCGGCTAGAATTGATCTCTCTCTGTCTTATTATTCATAGCGGCATGGTGGGAATGATCTGAAAAGGCGATATGCGGTACTAGTGCTACCTTTAATCTGAAAAGGAGATCCTGGTTGTTCCGAAGCAGTCCGGGGTAGAGCTGCTGAGTAGTTGAGATAGCTTCTCCGATCCGTCCGTCCAGGACGAGTTTCTGAATATGCTGACGGTTTCGCATACTCGCCAGCTCCTCAGAGATCTCCTGACCGGTTGACCGGGCAAACAGCTCAGCAGTCTACACAAGGGATTTAAGGAACTGCAGGGGTATATATTTTCTTGAAAAATAAATTCCCTGCTTCCCAACCTTTAAAAAACCGACATTTCCCCATCTCCTTCTTACAAAAATATTTTTTAAATGTATATTTTTCTCACAGACAGTTTAATTGTCGATATATGATATATCAATATTATACAATTTGTATAATATTGCAGTACATCTGTGTAAATTATTATGTCATATTGACAATTCATATTTTACATTTTATTGACAAAATAAACATTTTACATTTTGTTTTTCTCCATTATAGTTATCAAATAAATTCTTGTGAAATTCTTTTCTCTTGTAATATAATTTGTGAGAGATGGAAAGAATTACAAATTTTATTTTTTTCTCTATTTGTCATGTCTCATTTTTATACAAAAATCATATGGACTTGTTTTCTTTGCTTTCACTTTCAAACAATAACTTTCAAAACTGATCTACGAATTATGATCCCCCCCCAGGTAGAATTTCTGATCGGGTCATTGTGTACAGTGGCTGTACAACAAGAAGTCTAAAATTCCAGATGCCCCCTCTATTACTAATATCTCGATGGTAAAAGTAGATTTCAAGAAATGATCTTTTCGTAGAAGTTGATTTCTAGAAATGCTCTTTACTTAGAAGTTGATTTCTAGAAATACACTTTTCGTGGAAGTTGATTTCTAGAAATACTCTTAATGTATAAGTTGATTTCTAGAAATGCTCTTATTGTAGAACTTGATTTCTAGAAATACTCTTAGTGTATAAGTAGATTTCTAGAAATGCTCTTTGCGTAAAGTTGATTTCTAGAAATACTCTTAATGTATAAGTTGATTTCTAGAAATACTCTGTGTATCAATTTCCTGAGAAACAAACTGTTTGAGAAAGATGACAGGATACCTGTGAATATCCATGATGAACGAGGTAGGATGAAACCATCTTCTGTAGAACAGATTGTTGATCTCCGTGTTTCTTTGGCCAGCTGAGCTCCGAGATGAGGTTTCTAGTTTTCCGTCTGAGTTCTCTGAGTTCTCCTTCTATATCGAAGATGAAAGGTTCCTGTCCAAAGTTTGCATCAATAACTTCTCCCGGGGTCTGTAGACCAACTGTAGGAAATAGGTTCGGAGGCAAATCTGAACGAAAAAAAGGGTCAAGGATAAAACTTATTGAATTGGAGAGTTCGCTTAACTACCTACCGCCGGTTCAACTCCTGAATCACAGATTCAAATCCTCATTACAAGTCATTAAGCTCAACAAACTTTTACTGAAGAAAAGTATTAAAACTTCTAAAAGGCGTAATCTTCTTTGTTTCTAAAAATATATAACATAGTAATCTGTGCTAAGGAACCTGATCTGGATCAGCTGTTTTGGCACTTTACCCGACCAAGATAATAAAAAGAGACGCTAATTTATTTAACCCAAGAGGGCTCTCTTAATGGATGGATGATGATGATCTTAATCTGGAAAATTATCCTAATAAAATAAAACTTTTTAACGCTGATATTAATATACAAGATGGATAGAACATTAGGAAATGCAGTGCCTAGGTTCCGCAACATTTAAGCTTCCTGTGTCCAAATTTAATGAAATTAAGCCGCGTCTCAATCACCCAAAAACCGGTTTCAATTAAGCGCCGGCTTGAATCTTGAAAAACTGATTACAATTTTAAGTGGAACCAACCATATTTGAGCCACGGTTTAAATTTAAGCCGCGGCTCAAATTCTTTAAAATCGGTCTCTGGATCCACGGATCCGGATGAAAGGTGTAAAATACCAACCAAACCCTGTTAAGGGGTAAGTTTTACTCTCAAAACACAAATCTCAAATGTCGACTAATTAGCGATTAATAAAAACTTATAATCTCTCAATGGATCATTAAGTTCAAGCAAAAAAAGCGAGAAAAAAATTGTATTTGTTTAAAAATCAGTAAATCTTGTTCCGGATACATGATCTCGATCCGGAATTTTTTAGAGCGGATGTAGGATCCGGATCCGCATCATTTTTCATCGAAGGAGCTCAAATTTTGTGTGAAGTCTAACATGACCCTGGAGGTTGATTTTAGCTTGTCAAAACTTTCTATTAAAATATTCTCTTCACGTAATGTTGATAATTTATCGGTCTTTGCCTAAATATGTAGGAGAGTTTTCCCGTAAATAATGCTTAACTATAGATTAAATGTTGTTACTAGGGGCAGCTGGAATTTTAGTATTAGCAACATAAATGAAATAAGACACTCACTGAAATTTTCATAATCTTAAAACAAACAAATAAAAAACCTTTCTTGATACAGGAAACCATTTTCGAAGAGGGTAGGGAAAATTAATATCACAAGACACAATATAGAAAATAGATGCTCGCGGTGTGTAACTTATCCCATATTAATGTGTTCATGAGCACTTAACTAAATTTTAAACTCAATATCTCTAAAATTATATAGTCGCTGCTAAAGTTAAAAGTTTTGTAAAAAAATTTAAGTATTGTCTTTTTCTATAAACACATATTTTTAAGTTTTTGTTATTTTTTCAACAAATCCAACGGATCCGAGTTTCCTAATTGAATACGATGAAATTAATTTGTATAACATAATAATTTACAAGAATTTAAGAGCTGTCGATCAAAACTTCTTATGAATTACTCACAGTATATAGTGCAATTAATGAAAAGTTACTGAGCTCATTGTGCGCGCAATTTAGAAAAATAGTTATCATTGATGGACACCTTAATGTACACTACAGTGGACTGTATTGTACCATGTACATGAACTAAATGTTTACCTCTAAAGGCAACACCTAGATGGTGTCCATTCTTTGTATAGAAGCAGGAGCCATCCATCAGATTTATACCACATCCTTTATAAATTTGTACAATGAGTTAAAATTAATTATACTATTCATAGGCTGCTCGTAGAAACTATAATATTTACTTTATTACAAATCTTCTTAAATTCCCATTTCTGTAGAAAATATCTGTTTGTTAATTTAAAATGATTTAAGATACTACATCTGAATCTAGGACCATTACTACGTCCAATTTGCGAAATACATATATACATATTTGGTGTGTCTGTTAGTTTGTTTGTATCCATTCATATCCAATAAAGTCAAATCGATCAGGCCAAATTTAAAAAAAAATACAATAATACAACCCCAAAAGGAAAATTAATGGCCGGTCAGAAAAAAAATCAAAATGATTTTTTATTATTTTTCTCAAAATCAGCTTCAATGAATGCCAAAAAATGAACCTAGTTTGATTTGAAAAGGGAAAAAACGTTACTCCTGATTCACTATTCCCCAGCCCCTCAAAAAAAAAAAAATTTTATCCAAAAATTTACCAAACGAACAAGAACTTTTGTCCCAGGAAATTATGAATTAATAATTACAAATGGAAAAGTTAAAAGTTTACCAATAACATCCCCAGTAGTAAATGTAGGACCGTATGCCTGCCCTTGTCCAGAGCTACAGAAACTATGCCCGTCATCTCCATGGTATCCGTAGGATTGTTTATCCCATCCAGGCAGTCTTAAAACAAATATATCCGTAGGATTGTATATCCCAATCCAGGCAGTCTTAAAACAAATATATCCGTAGGATTGTATATCCCATCCAGGCAGTCTTAAAACAAATATATCCGTAGGATTGTTTATCCCACCCAGGCAGTCTTAAAACAAATATATCCGTAGGATTGTTTATCCATCCAGGCAGTCTTAAAACAAATATATACGTAGGATTGTATATCCCAATCCAGGCAGTCTTAAAACAAATATATCCGTGGGATTGTATATCCCATCCAGGCAGTCTTAAAACAAATATATCCGTAGGATTGTTTATCCCATCCAGGCAGTCTTAAAACAAGTATATCCGTAGGAATGTTTATCCCATCCAGGCAGTCTTAAAACAAATATATCCATAGGAATGTTTATCCCATCCAGGCAGTTTTAAAACAAGTATATCCGTAGGATTGTTTATCCCATCCAGGCAATCTTAAAACAAATATATCCGTAGGATTGTTTATCCCATCCAGGCAGTCTTAAAACAAATATATCCGTAGGATTGTATATCCCATCCAGGCAGTCTTAAAACAAATATATCCGTAGGATTGTATATCCCATCCAGGCAGTCTTAAAAACAAATATATCCGTAGGATTGTTTATTCCATCCAGGCAGTCTTAAAACAAATATATCCGTAGGATTGAATATCCCATCCAGGCAGTCTTGGAACAAATATATTTTTTTAATCTTGCTTTTGTACAGCCTTGAAAAGTTGTTAGGAATGAATTCGCTTTTTTACCAGCATTTCCGACCTAAAATTCCCCTTTCGCGGGATGTTTAAGTTACTAAACTGTCCCTTGGGACAATTTAGTGAAATAACATACCGCTATGCGAGCTTTTCGTGAAGGAATTTGCGCATTTAAATACCGAAAGACGATAAAATTGTGTACAAGTACTTTATATGGAAATTAAAATTTGTTCCTATCCATGGCCTCAATCAATTTTGATCTTTAAAAACAATTTCTTCGTTAGTTTTGATTTTTTTAAACAATTGTTTTACTACAACTAATATTTGATTAATTGATTGCTTGACTAGTTTAAATCTTTAATAGTTGATTGCTTGGCTGGTTTTGATCTTTTAATAGTTAATTGCTTGGCTAGTTTTGATTTTTGATTGTTGATTGATTGATTACTTGACTAAAATTGATCTTTTAAAAATTGATTACTTAACTAGTTTTGATCTTTTAAAAATTGATTACTTAACTAGTTTTGATATTTGATTGATTGATTACTTTACTATTGTTGGCCTTTGATTGAATACTGGACTAGTTTTGAACTGGAATTGATTGGTTACACAACTATACTTGTCAAGTTTTGATTTTTGATTGACTGATTATTTGACCAGTTTTGATTTGTAATTGATTGATTACTCGACTAGATTTGATCTTTGAATAATTAATTACTTGACTAGTATTGATGTTTGATTGTTAAACTACTTCACATTTCTTTGATTGATTGATTACTTTAATAGTTTATTTTTCTTCAAAAAATTGATCTTTCAATGATTGATTATTTGACTAATTTTGCTCTTCTGATCTTTGAATAATTGATTACTTGGATAGTTTTGATTTTTCATTGAATACTTCAAACAAATTTTCAACAACAATTGATCTTTGTTTTATGGATTACTTGACTAATATTGATCTTTTATTGATTGGTTGCTTGACAAGTTTTAATTTTTGGTTGATTACTTACTTCAATAGCTTTGACTGATTTTTTTAACTATATTAAATTTTTAATCATTCGATTTTTAGTCTGTAGGGCTATTGGTACCTGTTCATGTTTACATCGTGTGCGCAGAGGCCTACCCCCATATATCCGTCCCTTCCCTTGCTTACAATCTTAACCTCGAAGTAGTAGAGGCCACAGGAGGCCGGGATGGGGCAGGTGGCTCGTACACTGCTCGCGTCCTAGTATTAATATCAATATTAAACAGACAGCCGACGATATTTGAAGTGACTCTACATTAGTAGTTTGTCAACTGACAAATCCGAATCAGAACCCTTAAAGCTTTGTATGATAAGAATAAAATAGATATCAATGTTTTTAACAAAAAAGGAATTGCCAGAAATGAACACTTTTTAAGCTAGAAACACGACGATATATTCAACATTTTTGATCAATATTTAAAGTTTAAGGGTATCGTTGTAAATCGGGCCAAGTCCTCTTTAAAAGGAGTTTAAAATCATTGTTTTTACAAATTTATTTTTTTACATTTATTGTTTATTTTTATTGTTTACTTGCCTTGTGTGTTTTCCCATGTCCTTTGTAGTGAACTCTGAGGTTTGTTTGTGAGAGTCCAATATAATTGTATTTATCCTTCACAAAAAAAGTAAAAAATTATTGATTGATTTCGGAATAAAATAAAATAATATTACCACATACAAAAAAAAAACATTTGAAATAATAATCATGAGGAAAAGTTGAACATCTCAAGACGCAAAATTCAAAATGATACTCCACCCATCCCAACCTTCTCCCACCCAAAATCCCTTTTCCGCTCCCCAAACCCTTCTCCCCCCACAAAATCCCTTTCCCCCTTAAAAGGCCCTTGGTAAAGGTGTTTCCTCCTCGTTCACCATCGGATAGAGGATCTTCAACCTCTCCTCCAGGCTTAGTCTAGGATCCTGACTCGGGTACTGGTAATCCATCTAGACATAGATTATTTAATTGAACCATTTAGATGCACATTGAAATAAACGTTTATAATAAAGTTAAAGTTTAATATATCGATGGATATAATAAAAAATAAACGTCGTAATACATGAATAGAATAATAGAAGAGAGGTGGTGGGTCCAGTAACCTATACTAGGACTTAACTAATTGATTTCTTGCTCTTAATGCCTAAATATTTATACTCGGTCCTAGTGAAAGAGTTTTGGCCACGCCCCCCTCCTCCCAAAAAGTGTACATAAAAATTTGTATTGTTTCAGGATCAGGTTATGTTCAGGCAATTTCTGGGCCGAGCGCTGTGGTAGGACATGCTAGGGAGCTGATCGCCGCGGCTAGGACAGGTTAGGGGACCGAGCGCTGCGACCTCATTTATAACATTTCATGTAGATTTTTTTTTTGTAAGGGGGAGGCGGGTGGAATGGTAGGTCCAAAAATCCTGATGTAGTAAGTTACCAATGTTCTCACCTTAAGAATAAAAGTAACTCCTACACCCCTAAAAAGAGAGGATCCCTCAGCTCCTACCTACAGCCCCCTACAAGTCACTTAGTTATAACTCCTAAATACCCCTTAAAGAGTCCCAGTAGTTCCTACAGCTCTACGGATCTGATTAAGCAGATCCACCTCTCTTCATCTACCAGGTTACAAAGTTCTTCAGAGAATTCTGAATTTACTTAAATTTAATAAACAGACATCTTGGGTTTCTGAAAAAAAAACATTTGTTCATCTTTCTCAAGACCAATACTTTACAAGTTTGTTTTTAAGGAATTTGAGAACAATGTAAAACAATGAAATGAAATACATTTTCTTTCTAACCTTTCTCTTTGTTCTAATTACGCAATAAAATTACAAAAATAGTAAATATTAAATGTAGTTTTTGAACAGAAAAATTCATTAAATTAAAAGAACTATAATTAAGATATAAAAATTCAACAAATTTTCATAACTTATAAAATCACAAATTTTACGAAGTTTGAAATCTAAAAATAAAGAAAACAAAGATGATTAGAATTGTGCTCAGAGTGGAATACAGACCGCGAAGCAGAGTGAAATCTCAGATGTGTCGCGGCCATCCATTCGTAGATTATAAAAATTTCCCCGCGAACCAATAAAACAGCTGATTTTGACATTTATTTGTTTTCAGAATTTTTCTCTCGCAAACTATATATTTTTTTTGTCACCTTACCCTTCATTCTTTTTTAATATTTCTATTAATGGATTAAGGTTACTTATTAGAGGGTTGTTAGCTACACTGCAAACACTTAACAGGGGACGGTCGACGGTCTTTTCAATTGAGAAAGCTTTAGTGTCTTTTACTATCTTTAGTTTCTGTATATATCTTTATATTCCGTATTCATCTTTAGTTTCTGTATCTTTATATTCCAAACTCATCTTTAGTTTCTGTATCTTCATAATCCGTATCTCATCTTTAGTTTCTGTATCTTTATATTTAAAAATTCGGTGATGGTGATGGACCAAACCTCTGTAGAGTAAAAAGTAGATGTTAGTTCCACATTTATTAATAATATATTTCGGTCTGGGTTGACCCTCAATACAGTAAACTACATTTCTGGTCTTACAGTTGAAAGTTCCATTAATCTCAATCTTAGCTTGCTGGTATTAGAGGATTGTATAACTGTTCCAGGCCCTTGTAAGAATTATATAAATTCAACCTTTTAGAATTTATACAACTCCGTATGAGAGCTCTCCAGTCGAACAGCCCTCATTCTGCATTTTATCTGAAATATAAGTTTAAAGTTACTATTTCGCCGGATTGTATGGAAGTGAAGGCTTAAAGGCCTTACAGGCTCCGATGAAGACTTGGTGCCGCGCTCTGCTCGTCCACCGCTCCTTCACGAGCTCTCGATTCATTTTGCGCTCACTCGTACCAGGCGCGTTTTAAAGTTCAAATTTTAGATGAAGCTTATGTATCAAAAATTGCTGTACTAAGAGAAACGAATTTGCAGGATTGTAATCCGGCGCAGACCCTATGAAGGGACAAGTTGGGCAATTTAAACCACAAGGTTTCATACCAGGTATTAGCCTCTTTGGCCTCATTCTAGGAGGATCTGGAATTACGGCTCGGATGAGTTTATCCCTGAGATTAGGAGGTCTCCTTTAGTTAATATTCGATACTCATATCTTTAGTTTCTGTCTTTATATTCCGTACTAATCTTCATAAAGTTTCTGTTATTAATTTAGTTTCTGTAAAATCATCTTTAGTTTCTTAGTTTCTGTAAATTCATCTTTAGTTTCTGTAAAATCATCTTCAGTTTCTGTAAATATCTTTTAGTTGTTGTAATGTTACACCATACGCAACATATCCCCACACATGGCCACTACATAACTTCTGTCCTATTAACTATCGGACCTACTGCAATATCTGACCTACGCCCAGCTGTTTATTTTTGTATTATTTGTCGAGGGTTAAGTTAGGTTAAAACAATTTCTGGGCCGAGCGCTGCGGCTTGGACAGCTGCTAGGGGCCGAGCGCCGCGGCTAGGTCAGGCTAGGGGGCCGGTCGCTGCGGCCACAAGTCCATTTAGCAGCAGTAAACCCACGTGCTAGTAGGTCTGATGTGCAAGTATAGCGGATTTTTCGTAGGTCAGAAGTGAAGTATAGCGGATTTGCGTAATTGAACTACCGCCGTTTGGACTATTGTTCATTAATATAGTTTTATAAAACTATATTGTTCGTTTGAACTACTGTTCATTTGAACTAATGACATGACGTCATATCCTGTAGTTCAAATCAACACATTACTTGCTCATTTGAAGTATTTTTCTATGAATTAAGTTTTTTGAATTTTGTTATAATTCATGAAGTTTTATAGGTCATACAATTAAGGATTTAGGTTGTTTACAAAGAAATATTTCAAATGATAATAAAATAGTTCAAATGCACAAAAACTGTTCAAATGAAATATTTCAAATTAACATGAAAATAGTTCTTATGAACCAAAAAAAAATTTATTCTTAAACAAAAATATTTCAAATAAACCCAAGAGTTCAAATAAACCCAAGAGTTCAAATAAACACAAAAATAGTTCAATTGTGTGAATTTTCAGGGGCGGATACAGGATTTAAGTGAGGGGGGGGGGCAAGATTTTTTAGGAACAAAAAAATGAATAATTATGAACAAAAAATCGTGCCGCAGGCGCAAATTTTTTTGACTTAAAAGACTCAAAAAGAGTGAAAATTAATGACCAAAGACTAAAAAACTTTATTTTTAAATTTTAGGAACAAAATTAATGGATTAGAACAGGAATTTAGGAACAATTAAAAGATTGTTCAGGAATTAGGAACAAAAATAAAGGATTAGGACAGGAATTTAGGAACAATTAAAAGATTGTTCAGGAATTAGGAACAAAATTAAAGGATTCGGACAGGGATTTAGGAACAATAAAAAGATTGTGGATTAGGACAGAGATTTAGGAACAATAAACAGATTGTTCAGGAATTAGGAAAAAAAATATAGGATTAGGACAGGGATTTAAGGTGGGTCGGACACAGGAACATGAACAATAATAGGAACATTAGCAATTTAAGAACAAAAAGAAATTACTAGTTATACTTAAATGCATGAAAATTAGGAACAATATTACAATTTTGATAAATGAGTATTGATTAAGGAACATTACTAGATATGAACATTATTATAACTTAAGTCTAGTTCTTACAAATTTCTAATTATAAATTTATCATTAACAATAACATTTAGCAAATTGGGAACATTTTTTTGCCCCACTTGTATACGCCCCTGTGAATTTTAATTAGGTTTAGGTTAGTTTAAGACAATTTTTGGGCCGAGCGCTGCTGACTGTAGTTTAAAATGAGCATAAAAATAGTTCAAATTAACCAAAAAATATAGCTCAAATGTGTATTATAGGTTTATAAGGTTAAGGCAATTTCTGGGCCAAACGCTATGGCTATATGACAGGCTGGAGGGACGAGCGCTGAGGCTATTAGTTTAAATGAACTTTGAAATAGTTCAAATGAATAAAAAAAATGGTCTAAACATTTATTTGTTCCTGTAAACTATATATTTCATTTAGACTCATGAACTCATTTATTATAAAAACATTTATTTTTATGTTTTTTATTCATTTGAACTTTTTTCTTTGTTCTTTTTTTTGTTCGTTTAAACTATTTTTTTGTTCAATTAACTATTTTTGTGTTAATTTCCACTTTTTTTAAAGGGTAATTTTGACTATTTTGTGAATAGTTCAAATGAACAAAAAAATAGTTCAAATGAGCATGAAACAAAATTGTTTGAACTATTGAATGTTTGAACTGCTCACGATGGTACCACGTGCAGTAGTTAAGGGTAATTTTAGCTATTTTGTGAATAGTTCAAATGAACTAAAACATAGTTCAAACGTGCATGAAACTAAATTATTTGAACTATTGAATGTTTGAACTGCTCACGTGGTATCACGTGCAGTAGTTTAAACGAACAATAATTTAAATGAACAATAGTTCAAACGGTGGTAGCATCTATAGTTTCTATAATTATCTTTAATTTCCAAAATCATCTTTAGTTTCTTTAATCATCTTTATTTTCTGTAATCATCCTTGTTTCCATCATCTCTAGTTTTTGTAATCATCTTTAGTTTCTGTAATCATCTTAAATTTCCATAATCATCTTTAGTTTTTGTAATCATCTT